TTCATGTAACATGCAGTTTGGTCCCTTATGCACTGGCTTTTCATTGTAGTGATCCATTGATCGGAATAATGCTCTGTGTGGAGTTATTGTTATGATGACAACAAGTGGTCTTTATTCTGTCTGTTCCAGCGAATGTGAGTGTAAACTGTCTCTGCCACTGAATGGCTTTTGCAGGGAAGAATGTGTAACCCAGTTCAGGAAAATGTAACTGGTATAGGTGTATTTGCTCAGTGTTCCTATATCAGGGTGTTTTCCAAGGATGCATACTGAAACAGTCTTATCTTCTCACAATTATTTGTTATAGCCTGCAGGTTTGACACTTACCGTATTTCTGACATCCTTGAGCTGGAAAACTCGTCTTTCTGCCACGACTGGATGGGGATGGACTTTCTTTAAACACTTTCTCTGCAAAAACTTTCCTTTCCCTTGTAGAGAGTTGGTGGTCTGTAACATGCTGTTGTTTTCTGGACATATTAACTTAGTGGGTGTATACTTTTTTTGTGGACATGATTCAATTGTTGTCTGTTGTTGTTGTTAATTGCAAAGTCGTGTCTGACCCATCATGACCCATGGACAACATTTCTCCAGGCTTGTTGTCTTTACACAAATGTAAAATGAGAATGTCATATCTCAACTTTCTTCCACTATGGTAAATTTTGAAGAGGAAAAGCCTAAACCCAGACACTGTGGTTTTCATCAGTGTTCTCCAAGATACTATATAGAAGACATATAAAAAGAAGTAATGCAGTCAGTAGCATTCAGTAATTTCCTCCTTACCTACAGTTATCATGGCTAATCAGTGAGATTCCATTAAGCATTTATGATTAGTTTGAGGGGACATTAATCATATACAACTGGCAACTTTGTCTTAGGATGAAGATCTATCTCATTTCTATTTGTAAGTATCACCTTGTCTGTTTTGGCAACCTTTGTATTAGCTGAGTTCTGTTGATTGATCTGTTTCACCTTTCAACTGAGGAAAATAATACCAGCATTTTTCTCTTTCCAGAGTGTAGTTGTTTTAAACATTTGTTTGGAAGACTTGAAATCAGATCTTCCTGTCATAGTGACATATTCTAGATATTGATTCTTAACTCTTGATAAATCAGAAGCTTGACTTCAGTGTTCAAAGTAACTAGCTCAGGAAATATGCTTCTTTTTAACATTTAATTTTAGCTTGGGATAATGTTTTAGGCTTCACTGCGCAGATGAGGTTTATACGCATTAAGTGATGGTGCATATATTAGAATGCATTTTCCTAACAAGGTTGGGATGCCAAACCAACTTGTTCGAACCTTTTTCATTTTCCTTATTCTTACTTTGTTCATTCTTTTATTTTAATATCTTGGATTGTTTATTAATTGGGGAAACCTATTTCCTAGACCACTTAAGTACTTGAGTTACTAAAGTACTTTAATGTTACCCTATGAAACATCAAGTACTTTATGAATTCTGTTATCGCACTTTATGGAAATGACTGAACATTTTTGATAGGAACGTATTCTACAACTTCCACTGAAGTAAAAACAAGAAGTAATATTGGCTTTTCTTTGAAGGACACATGTGATTTTAAAATCTTTGTAGAAGTTTACAAACTCCTTTACCATCTTGCCTTAAGCCTTGGAGGATGGAAATAAGTGCCCTCTTCTGTTTGAGCTTTCAGATTGTATTAGTTCTGAATAAAGGAGAGCAGGTGCACAAGTTTTTGTAATGTTCTGAGAGTAGCTGATGGCAATTCTAAACAATACCCATAAATAGGAAGATGTGATCCATCCCATTCTGTAGAGATCTATGTTGAGAGGTATTTGCATAAGGTACTAAGAGCTAGACATCCTTTATGTATTCCTGACATTATTACTTGAGATTGCTTTAAAAATGGTAAAAGCATTGTACAGTTGAGCTTATTACATTTTTGTTTTTCAGGGCCTAGTATGCAAGAATATGTATAGACAAATGTTTTTGTAATGTGATCACAAGAAGTTAATGTGTGCATATTCTTTTAGGCAGAACATATTTAATGCATTTATAGTATAGTACGAGTATATTGGAGACCTATGAATATCTTGCTAGCATTTCTTGGCAAGGGGCATCTTACTATGGATAAATTGGTGAAAGGCAGTATTGCTTCCTCTACAAACCTGTAGATACTTAACTTGGAGAAAGTCCTGCTGAACTCAGTGAACTTTTCAGTAGACATGTATAGGATTGCAATGTAAGTGAACTAGCAAGGCAAATTCATCCTAGGACAGGTCTTGTTCCGATCTTTTTTTAATATGCCAGCTTAGTTTCTTCATTGTCACATTGATGACTTTGTGCAGAGGGACTGGGTTGTGGAACTCATTCTCATTGGATATTATTTTCTGCCAAGCTTATTTCTTCTTACATCATCCCTTACCCTAACATTGAGCAAATAGGTTTATTTGGAGAATGTGTTCCCAGGGGAGGGAATGCAGTTTGCTGCAATTGTTGAGTAACAGAACAAAAATTAAACATAAAACCAGTTCATGCTTCACTTGGAGGCCATGCTATTCTGGAATATTCCATCTGGCATTGTATACAATAACGAATTGATTGAGAATCTTCAGGGTTTCAGCATGTGATTTCTTAACAAGTAGCACACTTGGCAAGGGAGAATACAATGAAATCTCCTTACAGTGAGAGAAAATATTTGTTGGATCTTGTCCTGTTCATTGTGCCATAGTCTTTTGCAAGACATATAGGTCATACAGGCGTCAGTGAAAAGGTCTTGTGGTAACTGAATAATTTGCAAGTCATTCGGATGGATCTGTCAGTTGGATGGATCTGCTAAATCCATTTAGCATTGAAAAACAGCTATCGGCCAGATTTGGCTATAGTAGGTACATTTATTTTATGCATATTGTTGTGAACTGCCCAGAGAGCTTCAGCTGTTGGTGCTGTATAGAAATAAAATACATACATTTTAAATTGATGTTCCTTAGAAGTGCTCATATCACTATGGTCTCGCCATGTCCTTCATAGATGATCAATATAACAGATTGGGCCTAGTTTATCTGGGGTAGAGAAGGTTAATAACCTTTCCTGTTACTCTTTACTGGCCACTTTATATAAAAGCAGAAAAGACATACAGGTGGTACTTTTAGACAACAGCTACAATTGGGCTGCAATTTGTGTAGGATGCTTTCTGTGTAAAGCTTTGTTGCTAATGGCTTGCCCATTTCTTTGTAAAATGATATACGTAGGCATTAGAAGAGAGAGGCCATGTTTTTACCAATCTTTTATGCTGTGGCAATATTCCTCATGCCCTGTCTTCTTGCTTTGGCTGATGGCATTCAGCAGTAAAATTGAGATTGCATGGGAAAACAAATTAAAACTGAAAGCTCACCTTTGTATAGATTAAGGTTGCAATCCTATGTACTCAGGCAGTAAGTTCCATAGAATGGTGTTACTTAATGGTCTTCCCTTTGAATGGACATTTGTTGCTGTATTGTAGTTCTAGTTAAGCTTCTGTTGTTAGCAGTCCACTTTTCTCCCAGCTGCTGTACTAGCATCAATTGACTTTTACCTTGATGTGAATTACTATCCGGACAATTCCAATTCTTTTAGTTATTGTTGGTTAGCTAGCACTAGCTGGCACAGGTATACATTCATTGGGTTCAGGTTTCATTAAAAAAAACCCCTGAGTTTTTGTTCCATGTTCTGTGCAGAATTCCCTCTGCCCTCCCCAAACTGCTATGACTTTGGAAGGCATATGGCAACATCCTCTGTACCTGAGTGCAGATAAAATAGAAACTGGGCAAAATGTTTAATTCCAAACTTCAGAGCTTGCTAAGCAGATTTGATTATTGTGGTAGCCAGCTGCTATGCAACTTTCATAGCAAACTTTTCTTGTACTCAGGTTAGTACTGGACCTTACATGTAGGAGTAATCTATATTTTAAGACTTCACCTGGCTGCCTTTTTTGCCTCTTCAGCTGTCACACTTTCGTTCCTAAAATAATTCTAGAAATCATAGTTCAGATGGCTCACTAACAGTTACATGTGTCTGAAACTGGTTTATTATGCACAAACATTGTTTTTTGACTCCTGGTACTAGAAGTAATAACATCTAAGGGTAGTTCTTTTAAATAGCCCCAATTACCTGTAATTAGGCTTACCTGGCTACATTCCTAAAGTTCCATCTCTTGGCATCTTTTTGCCTGCAACTGCAGAGAAAATATACATTCCAGTTGCCATTACTGACAGAGCATGGATCCTCAGCTTAACAGTCCTTTATACACTGAATAGGGCTAGACCTTTCTAATCAAGTAAATTTGGGCTGCATCCATACTTCCAGATGTAGTTTTTATTCATAACCATCCTATGGTTTGTTAGAAAGACAAATGTACTCTTGCTAATACATTTTTAGAAGTCTTAAATTTTTGCTTGTCTGTCAGTTGAGATACTTGGACAACCTAAAAAAAGAATAAAAGTCAATTTACTTCCAGTCTAAAGAGGAGTCTCTGCCTAGATACATAGCAGCTAAATGCTTACTCTCTACAGAAGACCAAACTGGATGTTATTTGGATGCCTGAGTTAGCATCTAGTACCTTGCAATGCACACTATGAAACTCTGATGTGATTTAAGCTGCCAGCTTTCTACTCTCACATTATGGTATGTCTTTTTGCAAGATAACACATCAATTCTTACACCTCTTCTGATAGCTGTTGAACTGTTTACTCTCTGAACCCATTTGGTACCTATAATTTTGAGGTCCTTTTTCCAAGGACAGGATCAGTTTATTATATTTCTTACCTGCCTTTGAAGACATTGATCTTTCCAGAAGGCTCACAATATAAAAAACCTACTGTGTATCTCAGTGCAACAAATTTCTGCCTGTTTGTCTTAAGCCAGTCTTTGCTACTTTGCATTTCTATAAAGGCTAGAAATAACAACCATTAAGAAAATTCCTCCTTAAGGTCTGTCCTAGAGTGTTTATATTAATAAACATTCCTTTTATGTATCTCTGTGTGTGTGTATAGGGAAGGAAATGAACCAGGAGATTCCATGAAGATCACATACAGTGAATTGTTGAGTAAAGTGTGCCAGTTTGCCAATGTTCTTCAGCAACAAGGTAAATGTTTTAGCTAACTTGATAACTCTGAAAGGTTTTTGCTTGATAGCCCTGAAAAGTAGTATGACATGTGTAAAAGTATCCAGATCTTGTGATTTTAAATATACAATCAGTAGCCTTTTAAGAGTTGCACATTGCTTTCAGCATACTTTTGAAGCAGAGAATAAAGCTTCACCATATTAATTACAAGGCTACTGCATTTTTGTTTAGCAGAGATATTGAGTTTAGAGGTCCTTTGTCACTTGAGGCTCAGGTGGCTTCAGTGGGAGTGCCTTTTACTGACTGTGGTTGGTGACCCACCAGTGTTCCCTAAATGTAGGTGTTTCATGCTTTCCTTTCATTGCCAAAACCAGGCCAGAGCCCTTGGTTTTTACCAGAGTTTTATTTGCCATACATGCACGTGTCATCTTTTGGAAATTATCTGATGCTACTGTTTTGGCTCTATTCCTTCCCTTGGAATATGGGGCCCAGGACACAGTGGTTGAATGCTGAAACTGTTTCAGTTGACTGGCACAAGAAACAGCTCTTTTTCTTCCACAGGTGTGAAGAAGGGCGACCGAGTTTCTATCTACATGCCAATGATCATTGAACTGGTGGTAGCTATGCTAGCCTGTGCCAGAATTGGAGCAATTCATTCCATTGTGGTAGGAAAGAGTAATTATTCTTGGTGTGAATTATGTTCCTGTATGTCTCTAGCTGCTGACTGAAACGAACAGAAATTGTAATAGATAGCAACTTGAATGAAGCTGGTTTCTTCTGCTTTTGACCCCAAAATGTTTTTGAGAGAGACATGAAATGTCCTTTTTCACCGATCAGATACTGGTGCACAACTCTCTTGTTTTCAGAGAGACGCTCACATTTTGACTATTGCAGGCTTTTAAAAAAGAGTTCTAACATTTTGGGGATTATTTTCAGAGAATTTTTATCACACTGACTTGCCTGCATTTCTGCACAGTTACTGTCAACTCCCCTACCCAGTAATATAGAGAATTCAGGACAATGTTTCCCATTGTAGGGGAAGACTGATAGCTATGGGTAAGCTGGTTTTCAGTTAATTTTGTATACAATTCCTGAATTTATCACCACGGAACTCACAATTAGGTTCTTTTAAAAAAATCAAATCAAAACAGCACCCTCCTACTCCACCACAACAATCCTCTCTAGGGTTGGGTGGAGCAGAGCTTTTAAAAACTGCTCACTTAATCCTTTACTATGTCACATTTGCAAGCATAATCCAATATGCTTCATATTGAGTGATTAAATACATGTGTGTGTTTGTGTGTTTTATTAGTTTGCAGGTTTTTCAGCAGAATCCCTTTGTGAAAGGATACTTGATTCCCACTGCTCCCTTCTCATTACTGCAGGTAAAATGATGCTTCCCTAAACTGCACTTCAACCTTTATATCAAAGTACTTCATTCAAAAGAATTAACAGTGAATAGCAATAATTTTCTTCTTTTGGGAAGAGGAAGGAACTGATATAAGGCTGAACTACAGTATGTCCTATCAGAGTACAATCTTTTGGTTATAATATATCAACATAGTTTTCTGATGAGTTAGAGTTAAATAAACAGCTGCTTTGTTTGGTGGCTTATTCTGCTATGAGTTTCCATAAGCAACAGATGCTAGTTGGTTTTTCTGGATACCTTTTTAGGCTAGTATTCTCTGCATAGTTACCTGGGAGTAAGCCTCACAGAAGACTTATTTCTGAGTAGACATGCAAAAGATTGCATGATTAATGCTGCTTTGCTGGTGTGTGATTGGCCTTTCATTTGGTTTTCCATGCCAAATAATAAAGCTAATGCACTGCAACATTCTCAAGGCATTCATTGACATAGGAGTTAGAACATCACTGTTTTAGTCTTGTAAAACAATGAATCAAGCTTTCTCAAATCTGTATACAAGTCCCCTGTCAGTTACTCTGACCTGTTCTTTGTAGCAATGCGGACACTGTTAATAGAAATAAGATGGAAAAGGCTGGTTAGCTCATCCAGTTCTTTCTGATAGTTCCCTAAAGGATGCTCTTGAAAAGTATAAACTTGAGCCCCTCCCAAGAGGGGGTTTCACTGAATTCTAAAACAATGGCTGTTGTTCCACTGATTAGTCTTTCCTTTAGTAAACTTTCCCTTAATTTCGTTTCATTATTTCTAGTCCTTTTACTTTCAACCAGTCTGTCCATTTCTTTTGATGACCTTCAAGGGCTTGCAAGCTGCTCTGGTGAGCCAGTTTAATGATTTACTTACTGTTTTGTAGATGCCTTTTATAGAGGTGATAAGCTGATTAACCTGAAGCAGATAGCAGATGAAGCCTTGCAGAAATGTAAAGACAAGTAAGTCCAGTCTCTTGGAATGAGGGGAATTCCTTTTGGAAGCTTTTGGGGTTTTTTTGTGAATGATTTGGACATACCATAGTATTGTTGGTAGAGGTGGTGATATACATAAAATTGGGGAAATCATGTGCAATGCTATACCCATTCCTATTGAAATAACTGCAGTCTAGAAGTTTAAACATGCCCTTATGTCAGTGCAAGCTATGGGTTGGCACACAGTGTACAGCCAGTACTCCAAGTTATGATTAGGAAGCTTGACTGTGGTTTAGTGTGATGTCTGAGTTATCAAGCCACAGTTTGTGATTGGCTGGCAGATAAGAATCAGAAATAATTATTTCAAGAGGTTTGGAATTGTTGTTTGGCACAAGGTCTGAACTGACAAGTCATGCTGATGGTTGTTGCTTTGCCTATTTTCTTCTTTCATGCATGGTGTCGCTGATGTCTTCCACTATGATGTAATTTTCAGAAATCATTCTTCCTAGATTAGCAGAGGCCAGTCTTTTGGGCACATGTACCATAGTCCTTGTCAATAGCTGCCCTTGCTCTTTTGGGCCTTTAATATTTCAGTTGCAGCATCTTCTTCTATCTCAACAAGAAGCAGCAGCACAGTGCTACAGAAGTAGGCAGGAGCTGAGGCCTGATTGTGTCACAGTCTTGCCCACTTGTTCCTGACCAGATATGCCACATACCTCTTTATCTGGGCCATCTCTGGAACTCTAGCTGTAGGTTGACTTCCTGCATTGTAAATAATAATATACCAGATCCCTCTCTGTAAAAAATGCATGACTTACTTTTGATGGATTGCCAAGGAAGGAGCTTGACCAATACTGCAATTTTGGAATAGCTCATTTTTCACACTGATGTAATAATCTGCTTCAAGATTGTCTCATTTTGCAGTGGTTCTGCTTCTACTTGGGTGGTCAATTCCAGAAGGTAGTGCTGGAGGATTATTGCTGTGTGCCTTGGCAGTTATGTCATGGTGTTCTACAGGGCTCAGTTTTATCCTTCATATTGTTAAACATCTACACGAAACAACCAGAGGTGGTAATTTGGGAGTGTGGATGGAGGTGTTATCAATATGCAGGTTATACTCAGCTCTGTCTCTCCTTTGCATCAAATTCAGGTGAGACAGTAGCTGTTATGAATCAGTGTTTGGGTGCAGTAATGGTCAGGAGGAGGGTCAATAAATGGAGCCTCTATCCAGACAAGGAGGTGGTACTGTTAGTAGATGGCTCATCTGCTTGGATGAGTGATACTCAGCCAGTTTTGGAGGGGGTTGCAGTCTTCCTAAAAGGACCAGTGTTGTAGTTTGGAGGTAATTCTGCATCCAGCCCCATCGCTAGAGGAAGGGAACAGTTTTTATCAGCTTAGTCTAATATTCCAACTATGTCCTTATCTGGACAGCAATACTCTAGCTACAGTTATCCATACTCTGGTAAACTCTCATTTGGATTAATGTAGTGTGTGATCTGTGTGGCTGTCTTAGAAAATGGACCAGAAACTTCAACTGGTCCAAAACAGGGCAACAAGATTGTAAACGAGGCCTGGCTGTGATCATATTAGGCTAGTACATTCTGCACTGGTTGCCATTCCATGTTTGGGTCTGATTCAAAGAGCTGGTATCATATTCAAAGCCCTTGTAAATGGTTTGGGGCCAGGTTTCACTCTGCTTTTTACTTCTATATTGTTTTAACTATACTGCATTCTGTTCATGTTTTTAATTGTTTAAATAGTTGTGAGCAACCCAGAGAGCTTTGATAGTATAACTGGGCAGTATAAAAGCTAATAAATAAGCAAGCAAGCAAGCAAGCAAGCATGATACATTGCCTGTTGCCCTCCAATATATAGGTACTTTCATATTCTTCCACTTAGTTAAGCCATTATTCCTTCAAGTGGATTTAGCAAGAGCTTTTTCAGTAAGACAACCAGAAATTGAATAGTTGGGTGTGTGGATGTTGGTGTTGTAATATGCTTTTAAGTTGTCTCCAGCTTATGGTGACCACATGAATGAATGCCATGCCTGCTTACTTGTTCTAAATGCAAGGCTGTGCTTTCTTTTATGGAGTCAGTCTATCAGTGATGATGGTGATGGTGATAAGAAGTTTATACTTTGCCTTTGTTCCCCTTGCAAGAAACCCGAGCTAGCTTACAGGATTCTCCTTATTTCTGTTTTATCCTCACAACAACCAAGCTTAGGCTGAAAGTCCATGACTGGCCCAGTTGCCAAGTGAGCTTCATGGCTGAGTGGCTGAGTGGGGATTAGAACCTGGATCTCATGAGTCGCAGTTCAATATCCTAACCACTATGCCACAGTGGCTCTTAGTGGGTATGAGTTTTGATCTTATTGCCTGGTGAAATATCTGATGGTCTTGCAATAGCAGTGCAAAGTGAATGGAGAAAGTGAATGTGCACATGAAATTTTGGGGGCATTGAACCTAACAGAGGGATAAACACACCTGAGTATGCAGTGATTCTTCACTTTACTTGAGTGCACTAGTGCATTCTTCAGTGTCTGCTTAATGAAACCAGATTTAGGGTAGAGCCATATAACTTTTTGGAAACAGTTTATTAAGTCTACCTCATACTTGGTTATCATTCTCAGAGGCTGAAGTTTATTGAACCAAAGTCTCTGGACATTTTATTTGTGGTTTCCCTTGAAGTGGTTCCAGATTTGTGACTTTGCCTTTCCTTACATTGTAGGGATAGCCCTCTGCAAAAGTGCATAGTGGTCAAGCATTTAGGAAGGGAAGAATTGGTGGTAGATGGACCAAGCAGCAAGTCTCCACCTCTGAAGAGACTCTGCCAGAGTGTGCAGGTGAGTTACCTCGGTAAATATAGGGAGGATCTTTTTAGAATTTGAGCTGTTCTTTTAAAGAGGAAATGAGAAGGATGATCACACATTTCTAACTCTTCCATTGCAGGGAAATCAGATTTTGTTGCCTGTCAAGGTTGTGCCTTTATAGTACTGGGCAAACAGGGGAAAAAAGTATTACTGGAAGGAAACCACACATCTCTCCCAGGAAACCCTTCCTTTGCAGTAGAGTATTTAATGTGGAATATTGTTATGTAACAGTCACTACCATCAGCTGGAAAGTGCCTATGCTAGCACTCTTGACGGGAGTCGTGTTGTCCTTTAACAGACACCAGAAAAGTGGCAGGCTTGAGCAAAGCTATTATTTATCCTCTCCCATCACCTTATATCGGTTTCCTGCTGTTTCAGAAGTTTCTTATTTAAAGTGTGTTTTTTGAAGATGTCTGAGCCTCACTTATCTTGGTAGTAAAATTAAGTTTCTTTCACAACAGATACACATCTAGAAGTTAGCATCTGTGGTGTTGTTCTCTAAGTTACTTGATGTATACTAATTAGGTCTGAAAGCAAGACATTTTTACATTTTTTCTTAAAACTTGGGATGTGCAGTCTTCTTCCTGGGAGCAGCAGCAGAAAACTAGTCAAAACCCTTGTGTGATGAAATGGAGGTATAAGACCAGGGAGCAGGAAATTGCTAGAATATGTCGATGCTTGCAAGCTGTATTGTTTTATAGACGTTGCTTTCTGTTTGCAAGATGCTTTTTCTTTCAAACACCAAGACTCATTTCTCCTATTAAAACAAAAATAAGAAGCATGCAAGTAGAAGATACACTCCAGAAAGGCGGCCTATTCACCCCCCCCCATTCACCTTTACATTTGTATAGATTGCCTGCTGTTGCACAATTGGTGGCTACTTTGAGCACAGCTGTGAAACTTCCCTCTTTACTCTTGAATTATCATACAGAAAGTCCTAAGGTTGTAAATCCATTAGCACTGTAATAATTCTCATTCTGAGTTTGGAGGCATGTTTCTTGACCAATCCCATTTATCATTTAAGCATGTCGTCATTGCCTATAAACTAATTGGTTTATCTGTCCACTGCCCATGTCAATTCTTTGCAGTTTCATTAATACCCAGTGCTACTTAGTTTACCTTATCACAGTTGGAGGAGCAATAAAGGGAATATGCACTTCCTGGAAGGTTTCCATGAGTTCAGAGTACTCTAGAGCCGAGCTTCTGTGTTGGAGACATCTCCTATTTAGCTAAATAACCACAGTCATGTTAAAGACAAGTGACTGTTATCTACAGAGTATTCCATATCTGTTTGTATGTCTTTCTGTCTGTCCATCTGTCTGTCTTTTAATGGCCAGTGTGCACAATGGTTGGTTGGACGAGAAACTAAGTGAGGGTTTTTGTTGACTTTGGCCTAGTTCTTACTGAAGCAATACATCTCAGTTCTACTGCTCAATAACAAATCTCAATCCTAGTGTTGTATGACTGAATGTCTCTCAATACAAAAACAATTCCCAGGGTGTAGATGCCACAGAGCAGAGCTCTAGCTTAGTCCCCCCCCCCCCCCAATATGCTGCTTTTCTTTATGTAGGAATGGAAGGAGCATTCCATCATGGGGGCCCTCATCTGAAGGTTGAAATGGGACAGTCTATCTTTCTCCGTGTAGTATCATTCAGATGTTTTAAACTACAGCTCCCATAATCTTTGGCCATTGACCATTCTGGCTAATGGGAATTGTAGCTCAAAACATGGGAAGGCTTTATCTAGGCACAGCTTTACCAATTTATTATGAACAAGTCTTTGATACCAGTCAAACTTAAAACTTATACGATCTTTGCCTTGTATAGGTGCCCTTCATAGATTAATGAGGAGCAGTATAGGAGCCGCTTTTCCATGGCTTCATCCCACTTTGCTGTTGTAACAGTTAAAGGGAAGTTTTCAGCAATCAAGAGCTTTCCTACGCAGTTACTGACCAGCTTAGATCAAGACTGATAACTGGTTGAGGTGGATTCATGCAGTTGACTGTGCCCACCTGGTTCCATGTTTCTAAATGCAGCAGTACCATGACATGGAGCCATAGAAGATCAGCTCCCATGTGACTTCTGCAACTTATAAAGGGCATCATAGATGCAACTGTGTCATTGTTGACATTATCAGTGTCCTTCGTGCAATGTGTCTGCAGGGCAGACTGGGTAAAACTATTTTTGGTATATAACCAGCTGTCTTTGAATTCTGTTTTTGGATGTTGATATTTTTCCCTTCTCACCCCCACCCTTCCCCCACATAGAGTTTGGAATTTAAAATCTTGCTTGGACTTTAAAGTGACACTTAAAACAATTCAGTTTTCTTCTGAATGAAGGTTGGTGATGGACAATCTATTTAGCTTTTTTGTGACATGCAGTTTGCGGATAGGAGATAGATATATAAGGAAACATGGTGGTTTTGTTCTGCCTTTTAGTATCACTTCCAATAATTGATTTAGACAGTTTCAGATGGCACTCATTTCTTGGGGGTCACAGAGGAAAGAATATATTCTAAGTTTAAACTAGGAAGTGATCCTTTATAATGATGCGTCACCATGCTTAGCCTGAGCATGTCAATAGTGTGTGTGTACACACATGCACATATGTGAACCTTGCTTACCCAGGTATCTTATTGTAGTTAAGAGATGCGCCTCTGCCATTCTATACCCATCATGTGCATTGTGACATCAAGACTCTTGCTAACAAGACACAATGAAGGACGAAAGATGTGAATGGGAAGCAGATGGTTTCAACCTTCTCATTAGGTGCTGTGCTCCTGTTATTACACAATTAGATTTTGTGGCCTGCTTGACATCAGGGTTGGTAAGCAGAGTAATTTAGGCTTATATTCTTACTTTTAGTCCTCCATTCCTCTAGGATGTGGTAGGAAAATGTCAGCATGGCAGGACCTACTTACTTTTAACCAACCCAAGTCAGGTGGGAAACAGTGGGAGATGGAAAAATTTAGTATTAGGGAATGTGATGCTTTTAAGCATATGCTTGGTCCAGGGATTTATTTTTCATTCCAGCACTTAGCTCAGTGCCCACATATCCTCTCCTGGTTTACCCTGAGCTTTCTTTGTTTCAGCCATCTAATTTAGAAAATTGAGGGGGAAGAGATTAACAGTGCTTTGTTGCTGCTGTTAATCAATTGAGAGCCAGAAATACTTGTGGGTCTACTTCAGATCAACCAGAGATCCACCAATAGATCCTGCACCACCTTATCTCGACCCTTTAAAACATGAAGCTTACCAGGCATTGTGTGTGTGTGCATCTGTCTGTGTTACCTGGATTCAGACAGCATCCACAGAATAGCAGCAAAGAGGGATATGCCAGAAGGCACAGTAAAGGTGTAGCAGCATATAGATTTGCTATTTTAGACTGTGGTATAACTTTAAGGAAAAAGTGCAAAATTCTATTGCTCTTTGATGGAAAGTGTATGAGGGTAAGTCTCTTACATCTGTCATAATTGATTCGGTTTATGGAATTTTTCTTACAATTGGGGGTTTCTTACAAAACCTGCAATATGCATAAGCAGTGCCTATTGTGATCATGGCTCTTGGGTATTAGCATCTCTATGAAAGCTTTTTCTTGGTCCTTTGATTCTTTGTTTCCTGTGCTTTTGAATCTTGTACAAGAATCTCTATTCAAACTGACTGACTGGGTAATTTCTTCACACAAGAGCACAGTCTGTGGAGTCATAGTCCAGACCCATGCCTTCACACATGCAGGTGTCCCTGGCTTCAGTATGCAAGAAGGAAAGCTCTGGAATGGATCCAGCTGAGAAGAATAGTAAGGCATTGATTTGATACCTTTTACAGTTCCTCTTCTGTGTCCTAGAAGAAGCCCTTTTTCAACCACCCCATTTAGGCCCTCATAGCTGCAAATCCCTCTTATTTGCCAGCAAGGCATTCTAAAATGTATGGGAAGAACCCAGTTCAACTTTTCCATTTCTCAAATCTTGTATCCTCTTTGTGGCTTTTTGACAGGAAAAAAAGACCGAAAGCTCAAAGAAAGTCCATCCCAAGGTATTTACTGTGTAGCAGAAGCTTTCTTTTAGTACTCCTTTGCTCTGTTTACTCTTTCCAGCACTCCTCCTCTCTGCATCTGCTCTTTCACTCACTGCACGGCAATGTGTGGCCTCCTAACTCCATTTCCAGCACTTGCATGTTAGCCGTAGACATCACTGTCCCAAGGGGTGGAAAGGTACTACATGCCACTGGCCTGGGGTTTTTGGGAAGGGACAGTGACTCTGTTGTAGCCTTAACCCTTTTTAGAGTTTCTTGTTTTAACATAAAGTGCAATTAGGATTTTTTTTTTTTTTTTTGGTAAAGTGTGTTTTCACCCCTTTCAGTGGTAATAGCCTTATGAAATACTACTGCCCCATAGTCTAGGGCAGGGCAGGGCAGGGCAGGGCAGGGCGGGGCACTCACCATCTGTCACACTGTGGACTGTATATTTTAGATACGTGGACTCATACAGATATTTGAATTGTTAAATCACCCCCAGTTTGAGCCCCCCTCCAAAAAGGAAGATGTTAATAGGTACAGGATATGGCCAGTGTGCCCACCCCTGGTCTAGAGCATATGATTTGCATCAACTGTTGTGGCTAATCATGGCTTTCAAAGCTAACCTGTCCTTTGGCCTCATGTCCAAACTGGCAAGCCACGATTGTGGATTGAAAACAGCAATGATGGGAAATGCGAGATAGGAGACAGTTGCTTGTTTACCGTCATTAATAAGTTGTGTGCTTGCCTCCCCCTTCCTCCCCACTCTAAAGGGAGGAAGGATTAATAGGGAGTGCATGAGCCTGTTCATCATGGCCAAATCATAGTCTGATCCCTGCACTGGAACTCGGTGAGAGAGTGATGAGTTTCTAAGCATATTCTCTTCCTGGCTTTTGCCAGCCAGTTCATGTTTGTACTGGCTGGCAAATCTCCAAGGTCTCAACACTTGCTTGTTTTTTTTCAACTCACTCTTCCAGTCTCCAAACATATTTTGGTGCTCATACAGTTGGAATGAAGTGTGTTTGTCTATGTTACATAAATCTGGCTATCCTTCTTGTGGTTTTCTCAGTGATTTCCTACTCTGTTGTTCGTTTGATGTACTACAAACTTGGACAGAGCAACTTTGTTACAGCTCCACTGATTGTATCTGACAGCTCTACTGCTTCCTCCCAGGGATCTCAGGGATGACCAGTGGACTGACATAGAAAAGGAGCTCAGATTGAATTGTTGGGGAACAGGTTCACCCAGAGGGAGTGAAGTCATGGTTCTTCAATGGGGTAGTCTTCAAATGACTGTCTTAAAAAGATGGCAAATAAGGCTACATCAGAACTTCTGTTGCATGAAGTGAAAAAGTAGATTGGAAAAAAAAAACATAAAGGAGGTAACCACTCACAACAGACAGATTTAAGAAGGTTTTTATGACAAGCCAGTTACCTTCCTCAAGGAGAGGAGAAATGTAGTCCCCTAGGAATACTGCAGGCAATGGGATACCACAGTGTGATAAATGTCTGAAGACAAATACAATCATGCGTTTAGCACTGCAGGTTCTCAGGCAGTGGTCCTGGTCCAGCAATGCAACCCAGTACTACAGCAACAGAAATGATGCCATGCCTTAGTAAAGCACTGACCACTTCAAGTGCATCAGAGAATGCTACACTTGCAATCTCTGGGAGATTGTGGAAAGTGTCCTCTAGTGATGGGTTGAAAACCAAAGCCCAGTTGTATGGATCACTGGGAACTGGTCGCTGCCTGAAAGAGCCGTGCGAGAGATCATCTGTACAAGAAGTAGCTTAGTTCCAGTGAGTTGGGAAGCCAGGGAGCAGTCAGCAAGGTCTGGATTGCTGAGAAGTTCACAAAGGCACTGACCAAAGCCATAGAAGGCTGTTTTCAGGCAGCAGTCACTCAGCAAGCGCTTGGATGCAGGCTTTGAGAGGAGAAGGCAGGAATGCTCATTGATTCTAGGCAGTCTAGTCTCCAAGTTGAGGCAGTGCCTGGTGCAGCTCCTCCACCCCGTGTATAATCATTCCTGCTACTATATAATTCATACAGATTTAGGGAAGCCTGAAAAGTTCCTTGTTTGTTCTAGCCTTCCTCTGCTGATATTTTATTGGACTGGGTTGTAGACCTCTGCTGGTATGTGGTGTTGTTTTTCTTTTAGAATGTTTGCTGCTTTTATTACTGCACCCATTTTATTATGCAGATTTTACTATTGGGAAGGTTTCTACCTTGAAAGGTGGCCCAGAAGTACTTTAAATAAAAAGCAAAAAAGATACAAGCAGTGGCAGCTACTAGTTGTACCCTGCTTCGCTTCAGTGGTTAATTCTGGGTATGAAAATCCAGTTTCCTGTTGCCAGTCTAAGATTCTGCTTGCCAGCTCCATGCTGCTGCCTCCATCCAGTGTCTCTGCTCCCTAAGCACTGTGCATCTGCTGGACATCCTATCACCTGTGAATGTTTCAGGGCAGCTGCCCCAACTCTACACAGAAGAACAAGTCAGGCTGCAATTATGTTGCATTTTTTGTGCCCCTTTCTGAGGGTAGTCTTTCTACTTGTGTATCATAGCAGTGCACTGAAAAGCCAGTTTAGAAAAGAGAGCGAGTGTATTTGTTTACAGATGCCAGTAAACATTGTGCATTACTCTGGTGCTATGGCAGTTCTGAATACTCACTTTTTATAACTACTTCAAGAGGAGGAATATTTGTTAGGACAGGATGTTGTAATTCACAGTTGTTAAGATACATATTTAAAAATGCGTGATTTAGGTAATTTGCTGGCTTCTCAGAGGCAGTTTTGTGCCTCCTTTGCAATGTGTTATAAGCTCTTGGGACACAGAATGTTAGAGCTGCACAAAGGGGGTGGAAAGTCCCACAGAGACTTGCATGAGGATATCCTGTTCCTGGTAGCACAAGTACTGCTGCTCCTTGTACAAACTTTCCATGCCAGCCCTTTGGAATGATCCAAGTTTTGTGTTTTCTCAGTTCAGAATGTTCAAAGATGATTCCTTAAATCCAATGAGAACTGAGTATATAGCTCTGTATTTGTTTCATTTTAACATGATTGCTTGTTTTGCTGTGTTGCTTTTAAAATTAAACTTGGTTTGTTCAAAGAAGCCAACTTCAAATTAAGGTACTGGCTTGTATTATTTAAATTAACACTTAGATACAATTGTGTTATGGCCAAATCAAATGTATCCGTGAGAGAAAGTGTGTCGCATATGTTATATATGTCTGGGAGTGGCCCAATGCCACCCAGTGAGCTTCATGGCCTAGTGGGGATTGAAATTTGGATCTCCTGAATTTCAGTTCAACACAGAGACTGCAGAAGTGCCTCTTGTGATATGCTTTTTGCTTAGGCTTTACAGGTCTCTTTTCCTTGCATCTTTGGAATGAATCTTCATTTGGAATTCATTGCCATTGGAATAAATGGCCTATTGTTCAGAGTAATGGGTTTAGGACTAGAATCTAATGTGCATATTACCCTACATGGAATAATATTTGTTGTCTTCATGCATTCATTTGGATAACAAAGTTTCTGTCCCTGACTAGCTATGATAGGGGAGCCTCTGCTGATGCTGACTTTGCAAGGGTTATACACCAGGAATAGGTACTCCCCAGATGCCTTGCCCTTCAACTGCCATCACTCCCAGCTAAGACTCAGTGGTTGTAGGAGTCGGTCCAAGAACTTCTGGTGGACACTGGGTTGCCTGAACTATATAGCCACAAAATTCTCTTGAGGGCCTAATGAAAGATGGGGCAATTTACTTGATCACAAAGTGCTGCAAAGAAAGCGTAACTCAAATGCGTAATTTACATGTGCTAATGATACATTTTTTAAAAAATGCATGCATTTGCATGAGAGTGGCAGGAGTTGCAAAATTGCCAGTGGACTTGCTACCTGCTGCCTTGTTTTGCTGGTTTAAGTTCCTTCTGTAAAATTAGAAGCTGGCAATTCTTGGTGTGCTTGGAAGCTGGGCGTTTAAGAGCACTGTTGTGGTGCACTTTTTCAGACAGTGACCAACAAATTTGTTTGAATTTTGTCTTTTCCATGAACTCTCAAAGGCAGCCTCCTCCAATTTTGTGTCTATCAGATGGGTCAGACTGCAGCTTCCCCTTATTCTCATTGATCTGGCAATTGCCCATGTGAATGGGAATGATGAGAGTTGTAGTCCAATCATATAGCAAGCACCAGACTGGGGAAGGCTGCTCTGAGTTGTAGCCATATCATGACCCTCAGCATACCTTCTGTCTACAATACAGGATATTATTGGTTTATTGTATGGCTGTTAGTTTTATTTATTTTAAGAATGTCATCCTGGTATCTTACCACAATTGGCTCCAATGTAGTCAGCAAAATAAAAGTACGAAAGAAAATCTAAAGAATTGAAGAAAATACAGCACAAGTATAGCATTCATTGTGTTGTTCAGTATGTTATTATACAGGAAATATCTTGTTATTATAGTCATTGATTGTTTATATTTATTGCTTTGTTTATATTATATTGAAAGCTGTCCTGAGACAATTGGGTTGTATAGGATAGGATAAAAATATTCTAAACAATAAATAAATATTTTGGGTGGAGGAAAGTAATTACATAATTTAATTGTAATATCTGATTGTTTACAAGTGCACACTGCTGAAGAGTTAAAAAAAAACTCATTGGCATGTTTCAGAACGATCTGATTTTTCAGGGGTTTCTTAGATGACATGCCGGAACTTTCTTATCTTCTCTGTGGCCTACATGGCCACAGCTGCATGAACTGAAAAAATCAAAATAAAATGATGAGAGTAATGCTGATCTTGGTAAAGCTAGCTTGAAGAGCTTGTTTTTAAAATACTGATACCATCTTTTAGAAATGCACTGAATCATGATCCGTTGCTATTTTATCACTTTAAATAAATATTTGTATATTGAACATTGGATTGGCTCTTTAGTCATGCTTGTAGTAGACCCATTAAAATCAAAAGAGCTTAGGTTAATCAGGGCCAACTTGGCCTGTAGATTTCAATGGGCCCGTTTAAAGTATGATTACATCTGACTCTAAGTGTTCCGATGAAGATGTAGTTATAGATTCAGGGGTTGGGGAGACAAACAGTAAATAATACTTTTAAAATATGTGAAAAAATTGAAAACAAACCAGACAAAAGTATGAAAACAATACTATATGAATGCAGGTATGGCCATATCATTTTTTTAGTACTAGTCTTAAATGTTTACACTTTTACATTTACTGAAACCAGGTGTGCTGACCTGATGAAGATAGCTGCTTATCCATAGGACTGTACATAAGAGGAGAATACTTCTACTACTACTACTGTTGTTGTTTTGGGCCCTTTTCTGATCCTTGACCAGTTTGATCTCAGCCTTAGTTCCACATTTGTAAAATCTGTAGTTCTCTGGGTTGTTCTGAAGGTAGACACACAGGTTGTAGAAACTTGTCTATTCTTTATATATAAATAGTTGTGGTAACACATTTGTTTTCCCCTTATCTATGTTGCTTATGCATCTCTCCGACTGATACAGCAACTTTCATTTTTTATATGTATACATAATTTCTTTTAAGAATAAGAATAGTACTGCCATAGAAGAACCATTGGGATATTTCAATTAATAGCACCACAGCTGTGAGTTAGGGGATTTCTGCAGGTTTGAGCAGATGCCACTAGGTGTTACTCTATGTTAATGCTTCAGTAGACAATAAGGAGGAATTTTAAAAAATAAGCAGAAATAATGAAGCGGAGCTTAACCTCAAAAGGTAAATATGCTACAGGTTCTGCAACTATGACTTCAAGTACTCTGCAGGAGCTCTAAGCAGGTTGTTCTTCCCTTCTGTTCCCATTCTTTCTTTCTTTAAGTGCTATGCTTCTCTGTCTGTACGGTTTGCTTTAGATTCCTTGGAATTCAGAAGTTGACCTTTGGTGGCATGACGTTATGAAAAATGCTAGCAAAGAGTGTGAGCCTGTCTGGTGTGATGCAGAAGATGAATTGTTTATTCTCTATACCAGTGGGTCAACAGGGAAACCCAAGGTATGTTGTTTTATTCTAGGGCAATACCAAAATATCAGAATTGTTGCTTATTGTCAAATGGCACTCTTTTACCACTCTGCTATGTTGTCAGCATTTTTGCTTGATTTGCTTTTCTGGAAATATGGAAGCAGAATTGCTGAATGAGTAAGGATGCTGCCCTTGTCTGTCTTTGCTGGGCTGTGATCCTGAATGCATTCGCTAGGGTGCAGCATCACTGAACATTCTGAGACTCATTTCTAAGCAAGCTTGGAAAGGCTTGCAATGTGTGTCTGCTAGCAAGGTGTGTTGTGTTATCATCTACCATCTTGAAAGTATGTCTAAACCAACACAAAAATCATACTGAATTATATAATCAATTTAATTATATGTTTAATATCTGTATTTTAATTGAACTATTTTTATATTTTTATTGCATTTCTGTATGGCCCAGCACCCAAAACACTCTGGGTTGTTCACAAAACAAAAAAAGAAAACCTAAAATGCAGTAATGTACTAGAAGAGTGAGCGCGCGCGTGCGTGTGTATGTGTGTGACAGAGAGAGAGAGAATGAGAAAATGAGAGAGAAAAAGAGAACATATTTTTTTCAAGAGCTGTTAGGATTGTGGGGTAGGTGCTTCTATCTCTACAAAATGGTAGCGATACAGTTACATTACAGAGAAATATAACTTCATGGCGGTGTGTCCCTATAAAACATGATCATACAGATCATACTGCAATTTGATCAATATTTCTTGTCCTTATTCTGAATTCTTATTAATATATTTGGGCAGAGTTGTGGTGCTTGGGAAGAGTAATGTTCCCACAGTGTTTTCTGAAGGCACATGAGGCTCAAACTAAGCAAGGCTGGGTCTGGTCAATGTTTGGAGAAACCACCTGGGAAGCAGATGGAGTCAATTGAGTTCCATTGTAGAAAAAGGGGGTGGTATTAATTTAATGGATGGATTAATAAATACTCTTGGTATATGCTCCCACTAGTTTTAAATACTGGCTCATGTAGATATCTTATGCTCTGTATTTTAGGGTGTTGTTCATACAATAGGTGGATATATGATTTTTACTGCTGCTACCTTTAAATATGTGTTTGATTACCATCCTGAGGACATTTACTGGTGCACAGCTGACATTGGATGGATAACAGGCCATTCCTATCTCACATATGGACCCTTGGCAAATGGGGCAACCAGCATTTTAGTAAGTTCTGTGATAAAGTGTGTCTGTATGGTAGGGGTACAATTTGTGGGCCCTATCCAATTTCAGAGAAACTTCCAAGGGCTGCATTCCTGTGGTGGGTGTGGCCAAGGGCAAAATGGATGCTGAGCAGGACCAACAGTAAAAGGGGTGGGATGCAAACCACTGAAAATATTAGCATATTCTAGCTTCAGAGTCTTGGAAGAGGCATTTCAGATTTTTAGGATGGATTAAATCCAGGGGGAAGGATGTGTCATCTGGGGAACCAGAATGGGTCAGGTTTGCTGGGATTGGCCCTTATGTCTAAGTTTGTCTACCCCTGTTGTATGAGAGCATTCTAGGAGGAAGCCCTTACAGATGTGCAATTACAAGGTTAGAATGTCTTGATACACATGGATTGCATTTGTCTATAACACAACATCCTTATTAGTAATGACTGAGAGAGCAGCTAAACAGTCTGGTTGACTAAAAAGAAGAGTGGTCCCCAAAGCCAGACTTTTATTCTGAGATTCAGTGCTGATCAGAACAACGGTGATTCTCTCCTTGATCTGATACACAGAAGATGGAGTCCCACACTCTCCTTGCTCTTCTTTCTCCCCATAATCCTATAAAGAGTAAATGCTGGTGAGAACACTGTTATATAGGCTACAGGAACCGTGTAGGGTTGTAAACTTTGTCTCATGTGCTGAAAGCAGCTGGGGAGGTCATACAAATCACTGTGGCTTCTGCTCAGTTTGAAGGGCTCCCCATTTACCCGGATGTGGATCGTATGTGGAGCATCATTGACAAGTACAAGGTGACCAAATTCTACACAGCACCTACTGCCGTTCGCCTCCTCATGAAGTACGGAGAGGAACCTGTCAAGAGGTAAGCATGGCTTTTGGTGAAAGGGGTAAGTGTTTTCTCACAAACTCCCAGAATGTTTGTTGGAAATGCACAGCCCCAAGTGCCAATGCTGGATCAGAACTGTAGGACAAAAATAACTCTCTCAGTCCTTCCCTTGGACCACCTACATTCTGATTACATGTTTATTTCTAACTTGGTGTCTATGATCTAAAGTCGGGAAAGGGGAGGGAATAAAAACTTGACTGGAACTTAGTGTTTACTTTGCGCCCTGGCGACTGCTAGAAAATGCATGTCTGAATCTCTTACAAATTACTGTCCTTGCTATTGCCAGCTGTTGACACCTGCAGCTACCTTAGTGCACTGTCTTAGTGAAGCTTACTAGAAGAGCATGTGCTTTGAATGCAGAAGGTTCTGAGTTCAGTTCCCAGCCTCTCTGCTAGCAGGACTAGAAAAGTCCTCTGCCTGCACCTTCAGGACCTCCTAGATGCTCCCGGCTTTATTGATCTGTGGTCTGTTGCATGGATTTACATCATCCTCTTTGAATGACTAGTTCTGGAACAAGGCCTCAAACCAGACTTGTTTCCTGTGGGTAATTTTCCTTTTTAAAACCTTTGTTCTTATGACAGGCACAGCAGGAAGTCCCTCAAGGTGCTAGGAACAGTTGGGGAGCCCATCAACCCAGAAGCATGGCTATGGTATTACAGGGTCGTTGGTGAAGAGCGATGCCCTATAGTAGATACCTTCTGGCAGACAGAGACTGTAAGTATTTTACCACTTGTTGTACCTTGGGAATGAATAAGATGGACATGTTTATTTGTGCAGTGGGTTTCCTTGCTCTTCAAGCAGCCAGTTTTAAGCTTTAATCTGTACCTGGCCAGTGCTCTTCAGTATGGATGTGGGGGGAGGCCCTGGTGTCAGAATCTTGGAGATCTCAGCTATTCCTCCTCTGTCTTATCCAGTGTACTGCTGGCAAAGGTATTCCAGAACCTTAGATTTTATATTTCTCAAGTGAGGGACCCAGCATTTTTACATTTCTTGCTCTGAGAAATCCAAGAGGCAGCTCTAGGTCCAATCTGTAACCATCACAGGATCTCAGAGCCTCATTCGGATAGGGCTACGAACCTGCAGAGTCCTTTGTGCTTCACCATTGTGTCAGTTATTACCTGACTTACCTTCACCTGCTTTGTAACATCTTTTCTGAAAAAGAGATCTGAAGAATTTTAATGTGTGCCCATTTTTGGTGATCTTCTGTTGGCCTAATAAAAGTATTACCTTAAATACTGGTTTTTAGAATTTTCCTTATGCTCAGTGGGGTTACCTTTGGATTCATTTCAGCTCCCTTCTATTTCTTTCTCTTTGATTCTCAATCCTTCTTCCCCTTGTGTTGTGTGAGGCATTTACTGTCTCTACTTCATGACCTTCTCTTCCCCTTGGGAGTATATTTGAGGCTGTGAAATTATCTAGGTGGGTCCATTTCAGGGGAGCAACACTATTCATGACCTTTGTATGTGGGTTTTTCCTGCAGGGTGGCCACGTATTGACTCCTCTCCCTTCTGCCATTCCAATGAAGCCAGGCTCAGCTGTAAGTATAGATTCTGCTTTTTCTTCCCAATTCATGTGTGATTCTGGGATTGATCCTTGACTTTGGAACAGCACTTCCCATACATATGCAAACAGCAAAACAGCTTGTTTTATGGGTGCACATGCAAGGATTTCTTGTTTTATGGTTTTAAAGCATGCTGAAAGATGGGTTGAGGAACCTATGGCTTTCAGATGTTGTCAGGCTCCTTGTCCTGCCAATCTCAACTAGCATGACCAATGGTAAGGGAGAATGGGTGTTGACGTCCGATAACATATAGAGAGGAGCAAGTAGAATCTCTCTTCTTAGACATTCCAATATGGGGTGATCGTCCCTACAATGAAGAGAATTTCCCTTATCCATCATCCAAACCAGATTGAACGCTGATGGGAAACTTTGGACATACACCCAGCCCCCCCTAGTTATGAATGTCCAAGTTAAGAAAAACCCGCCTTGAGCGGTCAGTGGGCACCTGTGGGTGGCAGGTGGCAGGCAGCAAGTGGGAAGCAGTTACTGTCTCTCTCTTGTCCATGCCTATAGTTACTTATTATTACTGTATTATTATCAATACTAAAATGTTGCATTGTGTTTAAGATGTTTTAGTGTCTATGAAGAGGTTCCTTAAGTATTTTATACTTTTTATATACACAATCCATCTTAAATAGAAATTCAACTTAAAGATGATCTCAGGAACAGAACTAATTCTTAACCCAGGGACAGGGTGTAAATCAAAGCTAGAGAAAAATTTGAAGTTAATTCCTTGAGCAACAGACTACATAAGACACTTTGACTTCTGGGCTCAAGGTCCCTTTCCAAGCTGCCGTATGCTTGCTTTTCTGGGGTTTAGTTTGCATTTCCCAGTTTTTCAAAATCCTATTATGAATATTCCTTGGCAGACATTTCCTTTCTTTGGAGTGGTCCCTGCAGTGCTAGATGAATCTGGGGAGGAGTTGGAAGGCGAAGCAGAAGGTTACCTGGTAAGAAAAAGCAAAGTTTATTGCTGGTTCAGCCAAATCAATATCTAGAGTTCCATGTCTCATGTTCAAGGATTCTTTTTTTGCACAAGTCTGTGCATGGATGATCTGTCCCTTAACTTGCTCTTCCTGCTGCGGAGGCTTTTATCGCTGCAGATAAAAAGCCTTTTGTAATTTGTTTGCAGTTTAAAAGCTAAAATGGATGGTGATGCAAGAAATCCATGATTGTCTTTCATTTTTTTAAAACTTATGAGCAGCCATTGGAGGGCCTGGTTTTGATTGGACAGTGATACTGCAGGAACAAAAGTTTAACCCTTCCTGAAATGGCCTCTCTACACGAATTCTTCCTGCTGGGAAGAAAAGAGATATTTCTCCCCAATAGCAAACAAATGTAGAGACTAATATAGAGGTGTGGAATTTCAGTTGGGAAATGAATACAGAGCAGAACTGGTTAATAATCCCCCCATGCTGTTTATCTGATCAAAATCTGAGCCTTTTCCTGCTGCTTTTGTTGATATTTTTCTTCTAATAGTGGCAAAGATTTGCATTATTTGAGCAGACTGGATTTTCAGAGGAGCTTGCAAGCAAGTTTATTGAGAGCAAAGGTTTATAGAACATATCTGCACAATGGGCCACTGCCCAGAACACAGTCATTGGCTGTAGAAGAAATTGTACAGGGTGGTGGTAGTCTGGGAGAAAGGGGACAGGGTTGCTTGGGTGCTTTCCAACTTCTGGGTTTGATTGCCACACTTGCGTTTATGAAAGATGATGCCATTCTGTCTCATTATTTAAGGATTACGTTGCAGAGGGTGTTTTTTCAAGGCTTAGGGTACAAATGCAGTGAGCTAAGATTGACTTATACAGCCCCATAATGTAGATTTCCTGACATTTTGAAACTGATTTTATCTGCACCCCTATGATTTTATTTCTGGTTAGTAAATCCCCAAATGTATGGCATTCTACTTTTGTGTGCTGTATAAATATTTAAGTTTTTCTGAGTAGCCAGAATGCATTTGAACTGAAATACCTGATGATGATTTCTCTTGTAAAATACGTACTGTGGATTAAATGTGCATATGGATTCAAAGCTTGGCGTAGAATGTATTTTTATTGGATTGTAAATACTTTGTGGCATGACAACATAATACATACCATACCACTTCCATTACATTGTTCAGATTTTAAGGAGAATAGTGAAGGCACTGAGGGCAATTAGCCTGCTAGTTTTGGCCTGCCTGAATAGCTGTGCACATACATTTATGCCCTTCTCAAAGATAGTGATCTGAAAAGAAGTTAAATACAATTTTGTTTTTTAGATTTGACTGGTATTGCCCATCCTGTATTGTTTTGTGTGCATTCACTATGTTACTGATTATTTCTGTAAAACAAAGCATTTCTAAAAATGAGATGAGGTCCTGAAGAAAAAAAATAGCAAAGGAATTTTTTCTACCTAAAATCACTGCTGCAGCTCATTTTATTTGTGCAACTATCCAGTGAGACAGATTAAGCTGAGAGACAGTGCATGGCCATTCAGGCTTCATAGCTGAGTGAAGGTTTGAATTTTTCTCTCCTTGGCCATAGAGCATTACTCTCTACACCACACAATATTGACCTAACATTGGTATCTCAGATAAAAGTCAAGAAGCAGAGTTATGCAGGCGCTTCTCGTGGCCATGTTTAATTTTTAGTTTAAACAACAGTTTGGAAACAAACTACAATATTATGTAATTAAAAGTAGTCAAGGCAATATATGTTTTCCACCTTCCCACACGTTTAATGCAACCTTGATCTCTTTCAGGTTTTTAAGCAACCTTGGCCGGGAATAATGCGCACAGTGTACAAAAACCACCAGCGGTTTGAGACCACTTACTTCAAAAAGTTCCCTGGTTACTATGTCACAGGAGATGGTAAGGCTTCGGACAGTGTACTGGGCCAGAGAAAACTGGCATCTTAGAGAACTTGATTCCTATTGAATTTGGAAGAGCTTAAGCATAGCACTCACAAGAAGCTTAACCAGCTTCTTTGCCATGATTTCAGCTATTTCAGATTCTTACATCTGGGTTCTCTTTCTAATATATACTGGCTAACATGATCAATATAGGGTTTGTGAAGGTTTAATTTACAATCCTGGAATCTATACTTGGATCTGTACTACAAGTCCCATCTTCTTACTTACTGTAATTCTGGCCCAGAGAGCATAGAAAGGGTGGGTGGGCTGGTCATTTCTGCCCCCACCACTCTGTAATTTGAGCACTGCCTGGAATTTGTTAGTGGAGGGCAGCCATGAAACATGCATTATAAAGGGGAGGGCCTTTAAATTAATTCATTGTCCCTTTCCCACCCTACTCATTTGCCTTCATTGGGGCTCTCCCATATACTTTTAGAATTGGAGAGCAGCACTTCTGCAGAAGTTCCAGTTAGAAGTTCCCTAGTGGCTGTTGTATTATAAATTAGCTACTGATTTTTGCATGCTTCCATTTTAAATCCTTGTATCTGAGGTTTGAAAAAATGCATTACTATTTTTAAAATACTTTAGGGCAAAATCTTATGCAAGTTTAGACTTTAAAAGTCCCAGTCTAAACTTCTTTCTGTCTAAACATGTATAGAATTTTGCCCTTGCTTTGCTTTCCTTTTTTAATTCTTAATGCAAAAGGACAGATACTACTGTGTCACCTCTGCCGCTTTTTTGGTAGAATTCCAAATGCCTTTCTAGATGGCTCACTTACAGTGGCTGATTTGCTGGTTTTTCTAGGCTGCAAGAGAGATAAGGATGGTTATTACTGGATCACGGGTAGAATTGATGATATGCTGAATGTTTCTGGTAAGAGCAAAATCTTTATGTAACTTGCCTGTAAAATTCTTTCCATCATGTAGCAGCATTTGTAATGTCTTCAAGCATTGGTTTTTGGATGAAATATTTCCTCCTCAATAGTGTCTCAAGCTGCGCTCAGGAATATGAGGTAGGACAAATGGGAAAAACATCCAATAGCAGCATTTGGTTTTCTAGGGCTACTGAATGATCAAGCCCAAAACAAGCATTTTGAGCTACTGGTCTTGATAGTGGAAGGTTACTGGATACCTAAGTACACATACAAACTCTAGTATTGCAACAAGCAGATTATCAAATCTCTGAAAAATGTTTTGGGACAAGGTAAGACGTTTCAGAGAATGACTTCGTATTCCCAAGACCTGTTCTGTATATGTGATGGACTCTATTTTAGAGGTAGACATTTTTAATTTGTAAAAATGCTAGCTTCTTTCACAAGTGTCTGTTACCTAGCTGCAGATGGTCTTGCTGCAGAAATGTTCACTACAGGGTGGCTATGATAAATCAAACATGTCCCAAAAGTACCTTCTTTTGTTGTTTGTACATGCTGTCAAATTTTATCTAATATTGCAGCAATCCTATGAATGAATTCCCTCTAAAATGTCCTGTCCATGACAGACCTGCTCAGCTCCTGTAAACCTAGAGCTGTAGATTTCTTTTACATGCATATAAGAATACTTTTTATACTGTTACAGCTTCTCAAGTCCCATAAATTGCACTCAGAACAGTCTTTCTTGGCTGTACTCTCTTTATGGAACGTTTATGGAACGTTTGCACGATCTACAGCAGCCTTCCTCCATCAATCACTGCAAGATCTGTTGGACTATATGTCCCATAATCCTCAAGCCACATGGTTAGTGATGGGATGATGTGAGCTGAGTCCACCACATCTGGAGTTTGGGAAAGGCTGATTATCAATTCAAGATGTTAGTGCAAGAGGTTCCTTTTTATTTTGCAGTGATACTTGTTCGACAACATACAATTGGAACTAGAAGAATGAATGACAACTTTACTTGCTTCAGCTACTACAGTGGTACCTTGGCTCACAAACTTAATCCGTTAAAGGACTCTGGTCGTGACCCAAATTTGTCATGACCCAAGTCAAATTTCCCATAAGGTTCAATGTAAATAAGGTTAATCTGTTCTGTAAATATTTTTTTAATCACAAAAATTTGAAACAAAGTAACAAATTTTTTTTGTGGGGGAGAAGGGCATGATCACAGGAGTGCTGGGGAGGAGACAGGTGCGGTTGTGGGTGTGCTCATGCAGGGGGAGACGGGCATGATCGCGATTGTCACCTAATGCAGAGTTCACGAACTGAGGCAATTTTTCTTGGAAATTTCTGTTCGTGATCTGATTTGGTGGTGAACTGTGGTGTTCATGAGCCGAGGTACCACTGTATTATGAAAGTTGGTGTGACTGCCTAGAGCTTCAGCTTCCAGTCTGGGGCTTGACTTGATGGTTCCTCCCCTTTTGTGTAATATGTCTTTAGACATGAAGATGCACTGACATCAAGGCCAATTCAAGAAAAGCTGTGTTTTTTTCTGCTTGCAGGGCACTTGCTGAGCACAGCAGAGGTTGAATCAGCTCTGGTGGAGCACTCGGCTATCTCAGAGGCAGCAGTTGTAAGCCATCCACACCCAGTAAAGGGAGAGTGCCTGTACTGTTTTGTGACCTTGAAGGAAGGTCATGACTTCACAAAGAACTTGATGGATGAACTGAAGAAACAAGGTGACTGGGGCAAACCTTCTCATGTTGTGTGACTAAAAGTTCAGAGCCATTTTGAAAGGAAAAGAAACAGTTTTGTGACGCCTTAAAAATTGTTCATAAGGTTTCAAGGACACTATTGGCTTCTTCAGATGCAGTGGCTAAGGTTCACAAAAGCATATGCCTGTAGTCTTTAAGGTACCTCATGTTTCTTTATTTTGCTGCAAGAGATGAATACAGCTACATTTAAGGAAATCATTATGCTGAGAAGAGTCTGTGAAAAAGGATGAGGTGACAAGTTTTCTAAGAATATTGTTGGCAGCAAGATAGTTAACCATGTGTGGAATATGGGAAGTTGCCTTACACTCTATTAGGCTATCCATCTTGTACTCTCTAATTGAGGGGTGCAGAGTTTCAGGGCCAGTGATGAACATTACATTGGCTGCCGCCATGATCACCACCACCACCACCACATTTCTATACGGCCTGTAGCCGAAGCTTTCTGGGTGGTTCACAATGTGTAAGTCACTCATCCAGATTTCAACTAGGCCTGACCCGGCTTACATCTTCATGCTTTAGAAATGGTTGCTTAATGTTTAATAGCATCTCTTAGTGAGACATCAGTCCCTAGTTTAGCTATATGGTCAAGCAAGTCAGAGACAAGGATTTATCACTCTTCTTGTTCATCATGGCTTTATTTCCTTGTATAACTTGCCCTATGAATTGCGCTGATTTATCACAGCTGAAATAATTGTTTTCTCATTTGTAGTAAGAGAAAAGATTGGGCCCATTGCAACTCCAGATTATATTCAGAATGCTCCTGGACTGCCTAAAACCCGTTCAGGTATGACTTTAATTTTTGTGTTGTAGATATGCAAGAAACACAGCGCCTGATACAATGAATAATTCCTGTCTTAACTTATTAGAAATTGTATGTTCTGCTCTCTACTTGTTGCTTTGGAAACAGGTAGTTGGGAAATTTTGGAAGCTAGTGAAGCTGTCACTATTGTTCAGTAGTTCCTAGGCCAGCTGAGTGCCTGCTGAAAAACAGCAGCTAAGCAAATCATTCTGCTTCTGCTCCAGGGTTGTCAAAACTTCCTTAGCACAATTTTGATTGGCAGAAGGGATTCCAAGCAGACCACATGGCAATGCAACTACTCTAGGACAAGCTAGACCTTGCTTTGCATACAATTTATCTTCACTAGTGATCTTTTTTTAAATTAAAGCTTAACTCCTGACTCCAAGGAATTAGTAGTTAGTGAAATTTGTAGTATTTTATCCTGGTATTGTCAGGCCAGAGAAAACTAATGAATTCAGTTAGAATCCCATTATATTGTTTGTGAATCCAGTTCCGATTGTAAATACTATTAAACAGCTCAAATCCTAATATCCTACATAACTGTCAAAATGCTACTCTTGACTGATTTTTCTATAATGGTAGTTATGCTATCCCATCTTTACAGGTAAAATTATGCGGCGAGTATTAAGAAAGATTGCCAAAAATGACCGAGATCTGGGAGATACATCAACGGTGGCAGATCCAGCCATTATAAGCCACCTTTTTAACAACAGGTGTGAGACAATACTGTAGCAGAGGCATCCTGAAGAAAACAATAGTACAGAAACTTGGTGAGAATATGCCCCCATCCTCACAATGACTGTGTTCCTTGAGATGGAAAACCAACTTATGCGGAACTGAATATAAAATACTGCAAATGAAGAGAAGAAACTGGCGCTCCAAGATCCAGTCCTCTTGTGTTGTAGAGCTGTATGTCTGTGCCTCTGGAGAACTGTGTGCATTTTATTGTAGACCAATACTGCATATCTGAAATTTCAGCCTCATTTATTTCGTACAGAATGTCCATCTCATGATTTCCATGAGTTTGTGTTATGCATTGCTGTTGTTTTTTTTAATTTTTCATGTAAAGCAATGGGCAGAGTTAAGAATCTGCAGATATTAATGTGAAAAGTTGCTATGCTCCTGAGCTGTAGTTCAGAAGCCTTCAAAAGGTTTTGAGATCCAACAGACTGAGCAGTAATCCTCATGTTGAGGCAGAATTATTGGAACACGTCTTTTCACAATCCAGAATTCATCATGGATTTTTTTTGTAAAATATTGCATAATAACCTGGTTTGGCAATGTCATAGGAAATAGGACATTTAAGACAACTGTCAACAATGAAAATGCATAAAAAATCTTTTACAGTGATAGCTCCATTGGATTCATTATTGAAGTGGTTGTTGATAATTTTCCTCTAAAAAAGGGAGTAAAGGTATTCCCCGTGTCTTTCTTTTCTTCATGCATGTCTTGGTATATGTATGCAGATGACTTTTCCCAGTGCATTAGGAGAATTCTTTGATGAATGTAGATGCTAATTCAGATTATGGTAGTCATGAAGGATTGTGTTCAGTGCCTGGATGTTCCACTGGCAGAGGTTCTTAAATTTTGCTGCGGCTGTCTGGTGCAATGTAGCTACCAGTAAGATCTGGGTAGGGAGAGGGATCTTTAATTTGCTTTGATAGATGAGAAACGGGTGTTGTAATACCAAAAAAAAAAAAAAAAAAAGTGATGTAGGGCAATTCTATTACTTGCTTCTTCACATGACTATATGTTGCCCCTGATCATATGAAGGAGGTAGGTGCATGAATACTGCCAGTGATTTCAACCTGTTTGTGGTGACTGAAAACTCTCACTACAGTTGTGGAAATTGCGTCAGTTACATAGTTAGTGCAGTTAATGCAGCTTTCTTCCTGTGAGCATGGACATATGTGCAATCAAGAGAGCTGTTGCTTTCACAGAGGAGAAAAGGTAACAGAATTAATAGGGTACCAGTTAGATGAGAGAGATGTCTTACAGTCAGATGAATATATGCATAGTTCACAACCTATTCAAGCCATTATTGAACATTGGCAAAAGTTGATTCTTCCAGGACTTCTGTCATGGTGTGCTTATTGTAACAGTGGGAAACCCTTTGAATATAGTTGAATATGCAACCCAGAGTAACTCCCTGATAGTTGTAAATAACAGGGACGGGCTTCTTGTTTGAATAACTTTTGTCAAGGTATTAACTCCAGCACGTTCCTCTGTGCTGCTGGCCTGGGAATGCCTTTTCTCTATGATTTTTTATTTGTATTGGAAATGGCTTTATTTAAGTTTCATTACTATTTTTTTAAATAAGGTATTACATTTGACTGTGATGGCCATGCTGTGTTTTATCCCAAGATACCTTTTCTCATAACTGTTTGTAAATTGGAACAGTGTAAAAGCAATGTCCTTCAAACTATCTCCCTGACAAATAAGGATGCCCTGGCCTTGTCTCATGGTCATACATCTCTCAGTTCTCACCTGCTGTTAGTATCCTAAGTGCACTTGTGTGTGGTCTGTAACATTGGTATATATTTACCCTAATGTCCTACAGCATTAGAGCTAGGCCAGTGGCTTGCCCATGTGCTGCTAATAAGAAATAAATCCTTTTAATTGTGATCGGACATATTTTGGTTTGGGAAATGACTATAATTTTGTTTTTAATTGGAATAAATCAAAGAAATAAACCTATAAAAGTTAACAGTTGCTTGTGGATTTGTATGTTCCCTTTGTATATTTTGTTTTGAAACAATAACCAGGATTCTAGCTTAGTATTTTCATTATTTGCCTCTTATTTATTTGCTAGAGAAGACAGAAATAACAGCTACAGAATCCAACAGAGATTGGTCTCATAAAGAATTGTAGCCCTTACCCAAATTTAAGAAAATAGCTGTAGTAAAGCATATAAATGCATGTAGTATCTTTATGAATTATGGAAGAGAGGCCTATTTCTGGACCAAGTTTTTGTCAACTTGAGGTGGCTTTGACTCTCTAATTTTACTCATTCCTTGTCATGGTTGGAGTATTCTGCTTCCATCTTGCATGAAGGTTACAGTTAGCTGAGGCCATCTGCTGGTTTTAATAACAAATAGCAATTTCATGTTCTGCTAATCTGAGTTTAAAGCAATGTTACAAAATGGCTTCTGCTGTGTAAACAGTACAGGACTTAACATGCAGCAGGTGTTATGGCAGTGTTTATGCAGCTTTAGAATGACTTGGTTTCTAAATAGTTTAACATGTGAAACTCACTGAAAGCTGAGAAACACCCATCTGCTACTGTAGCTGTCCAGGCAACACATTATGTGCCTGTAGGAAGAAAAACAACAAAGCACTGTACTGTACCTTTTCAAAAGAGTTTTCCATTAAGTTTCAAGGCATTTTAGTTAGAAAACTCATTTAAACTATTGAAGAAAGGTGTTTTGGCATGAATAATGTTTCTGTTGGTTCTTACCTTGTTTTCTCAATGAAGCTGCATTAATTCTCTAAGCCTCTTCTCTAATGGTAGGCTTCCTATGTATGTGATCATATATTTATGCATGATTTAAGAGCGTGAGATGTAGTTGTTCAGAAAAATAAATCACTCTCATTCAACTGAAGTTCATCTTTAAAAGTCATGTAGTAATGACACAGAAGGTCAGTTTTTAAAAATTAAATTTTCTTAAAATGACACATGGCTTGATACAGAAGAATATTTTCTTGCTGTTTTTTTCACTTCCCAAAACAAATCAGGATGCAAGCCTAACCATATGATTATTTAGAGTCCAGTTCTGAGCTCCTGTAACCTTAGAACTGGGACTCCAAAGGCCAAGCTTTCACCCTGCCTCCTTGCAGCTCTCGTGGAAAGAACTGTACAGGATGATTCCCTACAAAGGTCACAACTTGGCCTGGAGAGGGCAGGGAGGATAGAAGCACCCCCTTCCTGGTGCTATAACTAGATGGCCAAAATGGCTGCCTAGATAAAATACATAGCCAGACGGCAAGTAGAGACCACCATCACCACCCCTTGTTCCCATGCACAGGAACCATGTAAGCTCCCATGGTTCCAGGCTTATGTGCAATAAAAATGTAGGGCACTGGGATGACCCTCAAGCGTCTGTTTCCAAATGTTTGAAAATTAATATGAATAACTTTTCCTTTTAAAGATTATCTGGCTGTATACTGAGTTTCTAACTTTACGACTTTTGTTTCTAATCATACTATATATTTCAGGTTTTTTAAAGTGTTGTTTACTATCAGGACACTAGTTAATCAGCAGAGTAGCACAAGACAGAACACACTAGTCTTCAACCACTTTTCAACACAGTCCAGGAAGAATTCTCCCACTACTCCTCCAAGTGTACAAAATGCACCTTGAAAAAATGTAGGTGTTGTCAAGATATTATTCTCGTCTGCTATCAGGTGCTTGAAGATCTATCTCTAGCCACTTGTCCAGTGCTAATTTAACATATGACTTATCAGAACATCAATACGTTGTCCATGGCCACAGTATAGTAAAAGGATGCTAAGTCTATGAGAGACGTGCTTGACAAAGGTACTTCATATAGGAAGAAGTTGTCAATGAAGTCAAGTTGGAATCCAGTATTAGCTGAGGCTAGGAAATCAGTGTAGCTCTGTGTCTTTGTATCCTGGGGTTGAATATAGGAGAAGAACTGAAGATCTGATTATCAAGTCTGTCTTTTGGCAATCATGCCCTAGAAGATCATTTTCCACATTGAGCACAGTGAAGAGGAGGATGTTGTTGAGGAGGTAATTCATTTTCATATCACATAGGGAGTATCCAGAACAGCTACTCCAGCTGCTACTCCACCATCTGCATGCTCTACAGCTTTTGTTCGCAAAAGGTGACCAACATGTTTGTTCACCACAAGATCTTGACCTTGTCTACAAGGAAAAGAGAGAAATGAATATTGGAACAACTTACAAGATGGTTTAACTCTACTTCACAATTTTGCAAAAAAAGCTACAATCATACATAGGCTTGTCCTAAGTCACATTGTAGGCCCTAGCATTTCACTACTCTTATGCATTACTGCTACAAACACTTCTGCTGGAACAAGAGAGAAATGTCTGTAGTCTTCACCGACACAGAAATTAGCTTTGCTGCTGCATTTCACTGAAGATTGTCGCTGTGGGATGGTTTTCCTGATGATACAGAATATATTTAATTTTGAGTAGTTTCATTAATGTAATTTAAAAAGATGCTTAAACACAGTGTTAGTTAGAGCACCTCAGTTATATGCTTGTGTATAAATGATGAGCCCCTATGTATGAAAGGCTAAAGCAGAATCAGCAAAGTTATCTGTTAGCTTGGCACTTTTTCTCCAGAGCTCTGCAATTACAAAATGACTTGGGATAAGCCACCCTGTAAACAAAATATCTGCTGCCCAGAGTGGAAACATACCTCTGCCTTAGTATGTGTGGCACAACAACTTACCCCTGATAAATAGCTACAGCAGGTTGTCTCATTGAAATCTGAACTGCTTCCCACAGAGTAGCTTGTCTACTCTGTAGTGACAAGCATCCTCCCTTCCAATGGTGTGTTCCAGGAGTAGATTTACCCACAACTGGTTGCCATGCCACCCAAACGAGGGTGACTGATCCTGTTACAGGATGTGTGAGCAAGGCACTCCAAGAAGAACAGCAAAAACTTCTTGCCACTCTTGCAGAGCTTGCTTTGGCCACAGTCAGTGGCAGCTGCTCCAGTGATGTCCAAGAAGCATGGTGCAGTGACCCTCACTAGCCCAATGTCCCCCTTTGTGACTTTATTCAAAGCCTTTTGAATTTTCCATGGCTTTTTCCCCATAGAATTTTTTTGGGGATCACGAAAGTGGCACAGTAGAGGTGCTGACACTGATTTACTACTTATTAAACATTCTTTTGAAGTGCAAGAATTTTGTGCAAATACCTGTTGCAAATAAAGTCCATTACTCACCTGACATAGACTCCAAAGATACCTAATTCAGACACACATTCTGATAGTTTCAGTGGACTATGAGCCCTCAGTAAGTAGTTCAGTGCAGGGAGAGACTTTATCTTATCCATAAGAATGTAGGAGGTCCTCTCAGGACTGTCTTTAATTTTCTCCAATACCTGCTTGAGCTCATCACCATAAAGATTGTTCCCTGCCAATACAGAAGAAATTAAAATTAATTCAAGTCACCTAAAGTAAGATGCCTGGCCCTCAGAGACCCCAACCAGTACAGAACATGAAGGGGAAAAGACAAGTTTTAATTAGAGAAGCAGTATCAGGTTAGAAGTCTCATCTGATATCAAGGAGCTTATCCAGATATAGAATAATTTTCCTGTCCAGTTAACAGTTGCCTATAGTTCTGTGATTGCAACCTGGCCAAACTCAGCATTTTCCCTTGAATTCTACAGTGTATGAAGCATTTGTGCAATAGTCACAATGCTCAGGATTTAGAAAAGGTGACATGTCAAATTATAGCAAAACTGTTCCTCTACCAAAAAGTACATGTTACACCATGAGTCCTCAAACTATGGACTGCGGGCCGGATCCGGCCCACCATGCCCATTTAACCGGCCCGCCTCAGAGGTTTTGCACTTGCCACGTACGCGTGTGGGCACGCAGTTTGCTTGTGGGAAGATTGTTTTGGACTTGCTCAGAGAAAATAATCTCTGATTGAGCAAGTGGGTGCCTCGCCCCACGTGCCCCCCCGTCCCTGCCTCGTGCGTGCGCCCCCCCCACCCCCTCCCACTGGCACCACTTTGGTGGCTCGTGCCCACCGCGGGCACCTTTCAACTGATCCCCTGTTGGAAAAGTTTGAGGACCCCTGTGTTACACTAACACTTTAGTAGTGCAATACTATCATGTTATTGTGCATTTTAATGGGCCACAGAACCTAAGCACTAATTGTGGAATAACTAAAATTCTCCAATGTTCTGTTTAAACTCCTGGTTATGCAAAAATATATTTAAAAAATCACATCAGACCTAAGATTCCAGCATTCTGTACACACAATGACCAACTAACTAGTTACCCATGGAAAATCCACAAGGTGGCCATGAATGCAATAGCATTGTTCTCTCATGTTCACCATTCTGCCTCTGATACTGGAGATATACATCAGAGCCAGTAGGCATTGATAGCTTTATCTATCATTTGAAAGTCACCCAAATTCATGTCCACCACTGTTGCAGGCTTTATTTTTATTATATTATGGTAATACTTAAGATTCCAATGATTCTAAGCAAGATTCCCACAAATTAAGAGTCTGGAAGCATAAAACCTGAGGAAAATTGTGATTACTGGGCAATATGTAGAGAACATAAGAAGCCTCCAAACATGACTCATGGCCCTCCAGTTATTTTTGCTTAAAATTTCTTACTACCTCTCAGCATCAGCTGTGCTGGCTGTGGGCTGATGAGGGTTGTAGCCAAAACATCTGTAGGGGCACCCATTGGCCACCTCTGATCTACTTATAATGTATTTTCCCATACTTTTTCTTCAGTGGGGTGGATAAAACAGCTAGATACTCCTAACTCTTTTCCGTCCAGCATTAATTATGCTGCCAAATAATGCATGTTTCCGAGAGATTACATTTTAAACTTGCCCTCCTTGCTTGTAGCTCTGGACAAAGTCCAAGGACACCCCATAGTCCAATCACACTTCAAGCATGATCCTACACATGCTCTTTCAGAAGTGAGTTCAACAGTGCTCACTGCAGCTTCCTCAGAAGTAAGTATGTTTAGGATTGCAGCCCTGCTTACAAAAATACTTCTGGAACTACAATATACTTGGAAGCATAATGCTCCTACAACAGTCTTATCAGTGGAATTGTGTGTACCTTACTCACAAGTAGACATACATTTTATTCGGAATGCTCAGTTATGTATGCATACTATTCCTGTAGCTAATAAATCATATCTATTCTGACACAATAAATAAAAAGAATGATCATATGAACATGCCTGGATTACAAGTAGCCACTTTCTAGCCAACAGTCCTGATATTTCGGTCAGATTATTGAGTCCATGATATATGAACAGAACCATTTACCTCCTCCCTCCCGTTGTGGTTTTAACACAAACCGATCTGGATCAGCAATAGCCATGGCAATCATCTTATCACCTTCTTCATCCTGCAGGAAAAAGGCAGCAAAAATGATAAGGGGACACAAACAGTTCCCATATGAGAAGTGGCGACAACAACTGGGACGGTTCATCTTCTTAAAAGGGCAAGCAAGGGGAGACATGATAGCGGTGTTTACAATAATGCATGCTGTGGAGAAAGTAGAGTGGGAGACATTTTTCTCCCTCGCCCCTAACACTCAAACCTGGGCTCTTCCCTTGAAGCTGACAGGTGGGAACTTTAGGACAGATAAAAGGAAGTACTTCATACAGCATATAGTTAAACTATTGAATTCACTGTCAAGGGAAGTGGTGATGTCTGGCAATCTGCTGCCAGGGATTGGACAGATTGATGAGGCTATCAGTGGCTATTAGCCTTGCTGGCTGTGTGCTACCTCCTTTACCAGAGGTGGCATGCCTGCACAGAGCAGTTGCTTAGGAGCTTGGATAGGAGGCCTTGTACCCGTCCTGCTTGAGGGATTCTATGGGCAGCTGGTTTGCCACTTTGTGTACAGGGTGCTGGACTAGATGGACCTTTAGTCTGATCCAACAGGCCTTTTCTTATGTTCTTAAAGGAGTATTTATTATCATCACAAGAAATTTTTAGCTTTGGCTTCTAATAAAATTCTACTGTGTAATAAAAATAAGTTAAAACTTTCACTATACACAGAAAGACATTAAAATAGTAAATTTTACTATACACTGAAAAGAGTGCCTTCTGGCACTGCATCTTCATATACATGAAGTACAAGGCAGTATCTATTTCCAACAATGCATTGCTACTTACCATATCCAGAGAATAGAGGCCAGTGAATGTTGCTCTTAATCGAGCCACTGCTTCTGGTTTATTTGGGAAAAATCTTTCCAGTGTTCCTGGGCGGCTCAACTCCTGCTGAACTTTTTTGGTTCCAGCAAGCTGTGTGGCAATATCAGGGCACTTAACTGCTCTAGATGTTTCCAGCAACAAGCGTGCTTCCCAGTTCTTTGGATAAACACAAAAGAGATAATCTCAGTCTACATTCCTTTGCATGTAAAATCCTAAATAATATATGTTACAACATGACTGTTGTATAATTGACAAATACTAATACGTAAATTGACACTGGATGTGATTCAAAGTGCTATCTTTTGCTCACACGTAGCAATTTCTTAGCATTGCTCTTGTGGTGGCAAGCCCTACAGTCCCTTTCCAAAGTTCTTCAGAGCATCACCCCATGAAGTGTCACCAAGATCACAATGGGGAAGCCAAGACTGGCAATGCAGACCAGGTACCTCTCTCCATAATTGTTTGGAAGAGTAGAATGGGGGGATAACATGAAATATCTGAAATGCATGCTACTCTTGCCTAATTCAATACAGAAGGAAAAATAGCAAAATTTTCTGGATACCTTCTATAGTATGAATTGAATGCACAATATCACATCACTCGTGTTCACTCACTGACAGCCTGCATGCTGCAAGTCAGCTAAAACTCTTAAACTCTAGAAGTAAATTTTCAACAGTAAACCTCTTCATCATATTTTATCAATGCCAGCTAGAAATCAGTCTGTACCAGATTGGTGCTTCACATAACAATTTGCCATGGGAATTCTGAATAGATTGAAAATACTGAGGAATTTTCAATCTATTAATACTGGTGGAATGAAGTCTGCTTAGGATCATTTAATTTTAAATGTATATAATGTATTTATGTTTGGTTTTATTTGCTGCTTCTTATTCTGTTAGAATAAGATCTTATGATCTTGGTTTTGCATTTGGAATAGAATTGTGGCATAAAATGTTCTAAATAAATAAATGTACTATACCGATACTTAGTAACTTGCAGTAAAGGTTTAAAGACTGTGGTACCAACCTGTTTGTTATAATTCTTTGGCACATAGCCCTCTCTATAATACACCACCGCAATTTCCTCCCCATCTCTAGAATGAAGAACATAAGCAATCAACATTCTATTCTTTTATGCATGCAGTCTTTCTCTTTCATGCACTCCATAGTTAAGATTCAAAATATTAATTAACTGTAACAATTTACTGACAATGAATTCTTTGCTATTAACTTTCAAATGTAGTTACAGTTTGAAAAACACTTTGCAAAAGTATTAGAAGCGTATACAATTTATGAGTTTTCCCTTTGCATGAAACTTCTGTCTACGAGTATGCATATTAACTTCTTTCCCTAATTCTTTGGTAAATTCTATGTCAACTTCCCACGATATCAATGTGCAGCAGAAAGTTTAGGAATGAAATGTTCTTTAATGGTAGCAACAAGCTTCAAATCAAGAAGCACGCTTTGTATTTTGACAACCTGAATGCGCTTTATTTATTAATGACAGCACAGTGTTTGTAAGAAATGTGATTCAGTATTTTTGAATACAGCCTGAGTACAGTTTTCCAAACAAGGACGACACAGGAACACTCCCAAGCATTGGAACGGAATGGTGCTAAGTCGGCAACATATTTTATTTTTGACGTTATGTTAATATCAGAAATGGCAGAAGTGTGAAAGTATCCCTGAAGCCACACATTGCCTATCCATCCATTAAGCTAGGATTTTATGCTAAGTATAGTCAAGAAGCAAATCTGTGGAGAAATACCTACATATGTAATCTCTTGTCACTATCCAAAGATGCTTTTTCAAAAACATCTTTAAATCTTCTTCGGATTACACGGATATTCCTTTAGGAAGTGAGACAAAAATGCATTGTACTTTAAAAAAAGAGATCATCGATCAAGTAAAATTGGACATACATTGCAAATGGGGTTTTCCTTAAGATCATTCAGCTTGTTCAAAATGTTGACTGAACATTGGTTTGAACAAGCTGAACAAGAGAGGTTTGAACACAACATGCCAGTATTAAGAGGTTTCCACTTTGTTTTGAGACACAGTTAAAGATGCTGGTTTTTATCAACTGAATCCTATTTAGCCTGAAATTACAGTTTCTGAAAGACTTGCCAGAGACCTACCTCTGCAGTCAGAGATTAGGTGGTTACCACCCAGAGATAAGGCATTTTTAGTGGTGCTGGAATTTTGCTGCCTGCTTGGCTAGCTTTTAGGTATCAGGTAAAGATTATATATGGATAATTTACTTTCATCTTCATTATGTTATTGTCATTTCGAATGATTTAGCTATCTTGGTATATTTTAATGATTTTGTTCTTAGCTATATCGAAACTTTTGTACTGAAAACTGGATAGCTATGTTTAAAATAAAGACCTGCAAATCTAATCTGTATTTCCAGTAATTTAAGAGAGCGAGTGACTGAAAGGGAGGCATATAAAATCAAAAAATCAAAATAAAAAGGGAGGCATATAAAATCAAATAAAATTAAAGTAGAAATAAGCTGTAGTGTTCCTAAATAATAGTAGTGCTGAAGTACAAGATTTTCAAGAGAAAAAATGTTCCTACAGGTTGAGTGATACATAAAGGCTGCAGTTCTGTACTCACAGTTGGCAGTGAGTTCCACTGAACTGTATGGAACTTCCAAGTAGACATGAAAAGGATTGTATTCATGTTTGAATTGAAAGAGAGTCATGTTTTAGATGTGAAATTGTATGCAACACTTTGATAAAAGAAGGTACATGTGCATTCCATTCAAGCTTAGAATTAAGCTTAAGAAGACAAAAAAAAAAATACATTATAGGATGTTACTAGCAGGAACAGGTTGTTTTGCATTATGTCTAAACCCAGTACTCTGGCTTGTTTCTCTTTTGACAAGCCAGAGTTGGAACTGAGAGAAACCAAGCAAGGGTGTCCTAGCAGGATGAACTAGCATGTGTCACTGACAGCAACGCAGAAGTTCATAATACAAAAGAGAACAACATAGCCAGAATCATGACACAGTAATATTCAGTTTAGCTAGAATGTATAGAAGAAAAACAAACAAGAACACAACTTGCACAAAAGAAATGCAAGCAGACAAAGGTGCAAAGACAGATTTTGAAAAACATACAATTAAGAACACCTGAGACCAACTGCAAGGGAGACAGTTGGACCATTGGAGGACAAAGATGTTTAAAGGAGTACTGAAGAAGGACAGGAAGATTGCAGAGAAACTGAACTAATTTCTTGTGACAACGTGCACTGGATTGTGGAGAATATAGGCTGGGGTCCTCAAACTTTTTTAACAGGGAGCCAGTTGAAAGGTGCCAGCGATGGGCGCGGGCCGCCAAGACAGTGCAGGCAGGGGGCGCAGGCCGGGGAGGGCCGGGGTGGGGGGGCGCGTGCACACGCTCGGCACTGACTTGCTCGCAAGGAGATTGTTTTCTCTGGGCGAGCCCAAAACAATCTCTGCAAGAGCAAGCGCGCGGCAAGTCCAAAACCTCTAATGGCGGGCCAGATAAATGGGCATGGCAGGCTGGATGCGGTCTGCAGGCCGCAGTTTGAGGACCCATGATATAGGCCATACTGCAGTTAATATTTTCAGGAAAGCAAATAGCAATAATATTGAGGTTTTATACCTTACCGATAAAGCTTATCGATAAATCACTAAGTCCAAGTGGCACCCATCTGAGAGTTCTCAAATGTGAAACTGGTAAACATCTAAAAAGCCCATGTGCATCCACAGCTGAGAACTGAAAAATGGCCAAAATAGCACCAATTGTAAAAAGCAGCTGTGAGGAAAAATTCTAACACTTGGGGCATTTTAGCTTTCAAAAAAAAAAAAAAAAAAGGCAGGTAAGTGGGAAGATGACAGAGATATATCATTATATATTATATAAAAAAGGAACAGGAAGTATTCTTCCCTCTGTTTTGAGAACCTCCAGTGAGGCTAACTGCTGAGAAACTCAGGAAGCACTTCTTCACACAGTGCAAAATCAAACAATGTACTGTAATTCACTACTACAAGATGAAGTGAACACTATTGCCCTGGTGGCTTTAAAATGAGATTTGACAAAATCATGCAGGATAGGACCAACAATGACTACTAGTCATGATGGCCAGTACTAGAGACAATGTGCCTCTGTATTTCAGATGCTAGAGAACACAAGCAGGAAGATACTCTTGTGGTCAAGTCTTACTAATTGACTTCCTACAGTCAACTGGCTTGCTACTGCATGATCAGAATGCTAGACCAAAACTTCAGCCTAACCTCTTATATTTTTGTCTATTCAGAAGTTGGTCCCTCCAAGTTCTGTGAGGATTACTGCCAAGTACATGCAAGTCTGTAGCCATAAGCAGTTTTAATTTCAATGGGAGAGTTAAGGAATATACTCGTAGTGCACCATAAGCATTTTACAAAAGGCAACAAACTGTATCAAGGCTTCTCAAAGACAGATGTAAACGTTCAAATATTATTCAGAACGGCCAAAAGCATATCACTGAGCATGAATAATTAAATAACACTGCATAAAACATTGGATCTAATTATGTGACTCGGTTACCTCATCCAAAGTTCATTTTCTATACATCGTTGGTCAAAAATATTCCTCTGAGCCTCTTCAACCAAAAACATTACCACGGCCCTGAAATGAAAGTCTGACATCAATACATGAGTTCTCATGGTCAAAAACATGCTATTACCAGTTCAGAAAAAAGGTGCTGAGTGTTTGTATAGGTGTCCAGCAGGAAGTGAGTCCAAGCATTCTGCAGTGCCTGCTGGCACGTGTGCTGCTTGAGTGCCCATTGTGCAAGCAGAGTTCTGTGGCCTGTGTGCTTTGCATACTTTGCAGAAGGAATTGCCTACTTTGTACAAAGGAAGATTTGCTAGCTTTCCTGAGTATTTGTGGGCTTGATCTTGGTTCAGCTCACTTTTGGGCCGGGGTGAAACATGGGAAAGAAGTCACGCAGGATTCCAGCCAGATCTTTGTAACTCTAACTACCATCAGTTTAGGATTCCTCTGCCTGTCAACTGAGAAGAAGAATCAACATTCCAGTTACTAGAACACTGGTGAACATGCATCGCTTTTTGGAATAATACTTTTAAAAACAAGTGGAATTGGTATAGTCTCAAGTAGTAGGCATGATGTAATTCAACTGAAGATATATTTTAGAATGTCTTGCATAGCTTTGTGTTCTGAGCATTTATCTTTGGAATACTGAAATTCTAATAAAAATACAGAATATAAAAAAAATGTTTTCTTGGTTTTTACACTCTTCATTGTTCAACCTTTGCTTCCCATGTGGGTTTGTTTATAAGCATAACATTCTATTACCCAGTTTGTTTTTCTATATGTATGCATGCGCATAAGTATGCATCCATGTGTGTATACACACACACACACACAAACACTTGCATGCACTCTTTTGTAATTTTTTCTTCATTGGCCTATTCCTACCACTTCCTACTATTCCTAACATATTTGTCCCTCAATATTTGCTAATTTACACACAGCAAGCCTACTGATATTTTCATGGAGAGAGCACGCACAATAATATAGAAAGATATGCACCAGCTAATTACAAAAAATCAAAATGAATAAAATTACTAACATTAAGTGAGGAAAAATGCAATAAAGAGAACTATTATAGATACATCTTTCATGACTCCTTCTAAAATGTATTTATTTATTTAATTTCTATACTGCCTATAGCCAAAGTTGTCAGGGTAGTTCACAGCAAATAAGGTAAATGTATGTTGAAGAGTTTAATGCAGACAAACAATACTGTCATAAGCAGCTCTCTTACCAGCTCTTGTCCTCTCCAGCATACATGGACAAGATTTTGAAGCACAGTCCTTTCAAATAGATTACAAAACTGTGGCACCAGCCCTCCTTCCCTTTCAGAGAACATTCTGATTCGACCTGCAGGGTGGCTCCTGCTGCTTGGGGGCTAGATTGCAGAAGAATGTTGGACACTTCTGAATTGGTCTGCTGATTTCATCTGTTGCCACATTACAGGGTCGAGGAAATTCTGTTGATCAACTTCCCTCCCTGTTTGGCAATGTCTCCCTCCTTTTCCAAGGAAGGCTGGTTCTCACTCACTTGAGAATCTTTACTAGGTAACCTTGAAACTGAAAAGTCATCTGCTCATCTCTGCCTCCTCCTCACAATCAGATGACTCTATCTGATCAGATTGTAACATTTGAGAACTGGGCCCAACTCTAAATATATATCTTCTTGCAGGCCTCTTACCTGTCTGAGCCATAGAGTTCCCAAGCTTTTGCAACACCCATGGCAATCCCTTTGGACGGATTATTGGTCAGTAATTTTGAGGCTTCTTTGGTTTTCCCCAAAACTTTCAACACATGCCTGTGATTGGGAAGCACAAACAGAAGTCACACAGCAAATCAAAATACACAGTTGCCAATAAAAAGATACTATGAAGATTGAAAAACCAATATATGACTTGAAATTCTTGACATGCTTGCTTAAAAATGGTGCACATCTGTAAAAATTGCTTTTCCTTGCAAAATAAATGCAAGCAGGGCCAAATTACTGTTCTCATTTATTGTTCAGTTAAACCCACAATGCATATATATATATATGTACCATTAATGCATGACACTATGAATTGCAAATGATAGTGTGGCGTAGTGTTAAGAGCATGGGACTGGGACTCAGGTGACCTGGATTCTAGTCCCGACACAGCCATGAAGCCAACTGGGTGACTTTGGGCCAGTCACAGGCTCTCAGCTCAACCTACCTCACAGGGTTGTTGTTGTGGGGATAAGACAGAGAACAGAAGGAAGAGAATTATGTAAGCCACTCTGAGTTCTTTGTAAGAAAAAGAGAGGATAGCAATCTAATAAACAAGCAAACATTCTGCACTTGGCAACTGATTTCAAAGCTCTATGTAAAGCTAACTCAAAGATGCTATAGGTGAGCCCATGTGGCTTCTGTGATCACAATGCACAAGTATAGATATTAGTACCAGTGGCAGAATTCAGAATCTGGAGAAATTTATCCTTGAATCTTCCAAATAAAGACATAAATAGGAGTACAATCTATCATCTTCTCTGGAGATGGTTATGATGCTGTGATGCTGCCACTCTATCAGTAGAGAAGAATGTTGTTGGATGCTAGCCTTGGGAGGGGAAGAGGCTTCCACCAGTGCCAAGGGCCCGATTATACCTGGGTAGTCTAAGAGCTGTTGTTGGCAGTTGGAGAAAAATCCTCAAACCAGGCATTTTGTGGACAAGGGGGAGCTAGAGTCAAAGCTGCTCTTTTCCTCTAAATGGGCTCAATTTAGGCCAATCATCCATACCAGGCTTGGAACTGGAATAGCTAATTTCCTGAGCGCCTGGACACTGCTGTCAGTGATGGCATCACAAACACATAGAACCATCAAATTCAACAGCCTTTCAGTACCACACTATATACCTTCTGCATTGTTCAATACAAGCTAGCAGGGTGAGGAATGAGGCAGCAGATTCATTTTGGCACTCCATACCATTTCCACTTAGGATTGCTCTGTCTACCTCCACTAGGACTTAAAATAACAGTTGAAAGTGTGTGGCCATTGCCAGCTGAAGACTCAAAAGTGAGGGGAGAGAATGAGCAAAATTTTCAGTAGGTATGGGACAAGCCTTCAGCATCTTGCATAGCTGTTTGTCCCTCCTACGACAGCAGAATTATACAGAGTTCTGACTAAAGATTAGGGCACTCAAAGTAAACAACAGGTAGGACTGTCTGTGAGAGTCTCTCTGTAAGCAACCATTTTCCTCTGCAGAAAAGTACAAACAAACTGGGAGTCTCCCAATTTCCTGGAAGCCTTACCGATGCACTGCAGTAGTTCGAGATGTGAGGCCTCCAAAACTAGCAGCAATGGTGTTTATTTCTATTTGCTTCAGAGCTGGAGAGCCATCTGCACCATAGTCAAACATGTAATCAGAGCGATTGATTCCTAAGAAAACCGACTAAACAAGACAGGAAGACAGCAAGAGCTGCAGCAACCATAATTTCCCAAAAAAGGTCATATGCTACATCACTGTTCATTTTATCATTTTATTTCTTGACCAGAGTTGGACACTTAACCACCTGTGGATTCACAGGGCCACAGTTCAGCTTCCTAGAAAACATTAAGCCAGTGCTTCTGTAGATTCAGCTTTAAATGGCAATAGCATTTAATATGCCAACTGCTAAATGAACTAAAATTTTATATACTGAAAATTTATATTTTCTTCATATAGAAATACTCTACTGGATAGCTGTATAACTCCCATACAGTATTGTCAATGTTTCCAGTGATTCCTAGCAAAAATAGTTAAAAGGAACTGAATAGCTAAACAGTTTCCAACAGGACAATGTTTTAAGAATTCAGAATATATTATTCTATTAAAAAACTGCAATTTTTTTCTCCCAACTGCAATCTACTCATACACTACATTCAACATCTGAGGACTTCTCTCACATGCCACCTCTGAGGGAGGCTCAAAGGGTTGCAGCAAGGGCCTTCTCAGTAGTGGTGTCCAGCTGTGGAATGCTTTCCAACAGAAGACTGCCTCTCCCCAGTTCTGTCATTCTTCCAGTGCCAGGTTAAGCTGGCCCTCTGTACTAAGGCATTCTGAGATATCTACAGTTATCTAATGGCTCATGGGGGAAGGCTATATCTGGCATTTTCAATAGATAAATTTTACATTACACTCTGTTTTACTTGTTAACTTGTTTTAAACTTTTAAGACTGTTTTAAACTCTGTATGAATTAACATTTTATGTTTTTATTATATCACAGTCCTGTTTAGGAACTGTTGTAAAACACCCAGAAAACTTTGGTTACTGGGTGCTATAGAATAAATGAACTAGAAGTTATTTAGATATCAACACAGGGGAGGACTCTTATAGGTTTTAGAATAATACTTTCTTGTTTACTAGCAGGGCTCTCATAAAATACCTGAGTCACTCCTTCTTTCAGAACTTGCTTGTAAATTTTGAAAAGCTGGGCTGTAAAGTCATCCACTTTGACAGTACTAGGAAGAACAGAAAAGAAATTAACAAAGATTGCACAAGGATTTGATGTTGCAGTGACAAGACAGTTGCCAGAACAGTTAGAAAATCATTTTAACTAATACTTCTTGCCAAGCCTCAGTGCTGTGTCCTCGTCAGTAACCTGATGTTTAATATGTATACCATTATACACAAAGCTGGTATCTGATTATATAATTTTTCCAGTACAAAAGGAAAAATAGACAGTTCAATTTTTTCTTGTTAGTATTCAAGTATAGCATAAATGAATTCCATTTTTGCAAATATTGCCCTGTTGCACACTTTTTAAAACTTACCTGGAACAGGTTGATTTTGTCAGCACATGGTACAATCATGTCATTTCCATTGAAAAGCAACATTCTAGGTCAGGACACAAAATCCTTAAGTTCCAGCTTTGTTAAACCTTTGTTATGATTAAAATCTCCAAGAAGTACCATGCTTGGGTGACTGGAAATACTGAAACTTTTCTACAAGTCCACCAAAAATGTTTAAGTCCAGATTATATAATGCATATCATATAGAATAAATGGTATATTCAGCAGCATACAAACAGGATTAGTCTAGGCCTCTCCTTCTACAAATGGAAGTACTCCTTCTATTCATGGAAAGAATGAGATCCAGCAGAGAATTCCTGTGGGAAGGAGACTCTGGTGCAACTTTTCAAGAGGAAAAAGGAAATTTGAAGATGATCTCTCCTCACTGCCATACTCCCAACTCATAAGCAATAGCATTCCATATATCCAGCCTACTGTAATGTATATCAGGCATGGAGTGCTAAAAACACTTCAGTGTATTTTATAAAGATTATTCTATCTAGTAACAGTAAACACTTTCCTACAAATTATACTTTCAATTTACTTTCTCTAACATTAATATTCTCATACTGTGTAATTCTACGGGGAAGGACTGCTGAATCAGTTTTACTGGAGAATGGAAAACTGGGTACATACCATGAAGTTCCATTCCCATTTGGTGCACAGAGACATCCTTCATGGGTCAACTCCTCCCACTGCCCAGGCCAGGCCAGGCACAAGTGATCAGGCTTTTTGGTTTGATCCTGGCCTCTGTGGCTCCTTCCAGCCAATACTTTTCTAGCTGAACGGAGTAGTGATTGAGAAACCAGAAACAAAGAAGGAAGAATACACAGAGGCAACTGCAAAGCCAGAATACAAAATTATTTTGGCACACTCCCTTTAGAAAAAACATAGGAAGATTGCTCAGTCTGCTACAGGATGTAATATGTATTATCTCTCATGTGCTGAATTGGAATTGAAATTCACAGTAAGTATGCAACTTTCTATTCCCATCTGGTGTGAAGAGAGATTCAAAAGCTACTATTCCCACAGACAGGGAGGGCTCCGAATCAGATGAAATTTAAGTTTGAGGAAGACCCTGTTGTAAGCCTGCTTGCATAGCTATATATCAAGCTAGTATGTCAAGTCACTTTTACTAAGCTGGAAAGGCATGGCCCTGCAGCCAGATGGGTGACCACATGTGGAAGTGGAGCAGGAAGCTGGACTCAGTGGCCTTACAGGGTATATTCTGGCTGAGTGATGTATAGTGATCCTTATGTATTACCTGGAAATAAGTCTGGTTTGAAATGGGAAGACGACTCCAAAGAGTAGTCACCAAAAGTGAATGGAGAGTAATCTGCTCCATGACAGAATCATTAAATAGGAAATCATGAGATATAAGGGGTTGTGTTAAAAGTTGTATAAGAAAGGATCTGCAAGAGTGTGTTTGAAGGAAGGACTTTGCTACCTGGCAATTCTGTCTGGAACTAAATGTATTCTGCCCTCAGATGTGTCTGGAATTACTTCCAAGTGAATTACGGATTAGAAGAGTTTAAAGTAGTTCTTTTGGAATGCTAAGAAGAGCCCATGTCCTAGAGACAGGACACTAGGATATGTAGATCCAAATAGACATTTATCAGTTATTGATAACTCAGAGAAAGGCAGTCTAGATGTGTGTAGATGTGAATGACCTTGAACTGGAAGTAAGTTACCACCACCAGCATGTGCTTGGAGAAGATTTTTGGTACCAATGCCAGGTGAAGAGTATTGCCCTGTATTGGTAGTGCTACTCAAGTAAGCAAAAGATCACCTGTACTGTACAGCTATGGGAACACATATACTCCATAACAGTATGTTGAAGATAGGAAATTCACCAGTGCAGGACCTTCTTGATGGTTCCCCCATTGGGAAAAGAGAGGTTCTATGGTCCCTATCTCTTGGAGGCGTGCATTTACCATTGGCATATGTTATTGCTTGTGGTCAGATCTGCAAGAAACAGAAGGAAGAAACCTACTTCTGGGAGTGCATTAACAAGATATAAAAATATCCATGTTGAGTAGTGTTTAGAATCAGACGTCTGGTGCTGTCTGTTAGCATGTGTGAAGGAGGTGCATAGCCTTCATGCCACACAGGCAGGAAGAGAGTCAGAACTGTTGGAGAGTAGTCTTTGAACACTAGCAGTAATAAGCTCTGCCCTGTCACCCATAAAGGTTTGTATCTGGTTTGCCATGGGTAGACTGTGAGAACTTACAGCTTTAAGGCTAAAGGAAAGGTTGAATGGGGACCTGAAGGTATACAAATAAGGGCCCCTATTAAATTTTCTTTCATCTTTCTTTGAAAAAGTGGGCAGAGCCTTCTTCTTATTTGTAGATAGAGATAGTCTTAGAAGACTTTTTTCCAAATAGTGGAGCCATACAAAGGGAATGGTGGCTAGGTTTTCTTTGGATCAAGCATGCACATGGCTGTGTTTAACTAGAGTGAACACTTGGGCACAACTGTTACACCAACAGAATATAACACAAAATAATAGAATCCTGTGTAATATATAGTATAAAAGTGTAAGCTTTATGGAGTTTTAATAAATTCCTAAGTAGGGTGAAATTATCCAACTCCTTATTGTTAAGAAGATCTTCTAGAAGTTAGTTCTAGAAAAGAAAAGATACCATGGAGAAAAGCAGTAACATGGGCTTTATTTATTTACTAAATTTCTAGACTGCCCAAGAGCAGAATGGTTCTGGGCAGTTAACTGCTTCAATCTGCTTTTCACTACTTTGTATAAGAGTGATGTCTTCATCCTTAGAACTAATGGCTCCTGAGAATAAGACTAACGAAGGAAAATCAAGCAAGGGCACCTTAAGTTCTTCCATAACTATCCCTGGTAAAGAATACCTTTGTGTGAGGTTGGAGGTCTTTCTACTGTATATAGGGACTTTTCATTCGCCTTTAACCAGTTTTTCAAAAGAAAAAGGAAAGGTGACCTCATGATTAGCTGCCTTCACCTCTGGAAACAAGGCATTCCTTTTACAAGGAGGTTTGGCTGGTTCTTGAGAGAAGGAATTAATATTTAAACACGCCCTATCTTTGGAGAGATTTGGAGGGGATCATCCTTATTGAACTGAGTTACACCCAAACCAGACTATTCCTCTTCTAACTATGTTGCTGCTTAACACGCTAAGATTCTAAATCTGAACAGTGTATAACTAAAACCCTTTCAGTCTTACAGTGGGCATCTTCAGTAGAGAGCTGAGTGTCTTAAACAATGCATTATGCCAATTCAGATCACCAGTTCAGCCAACTCCAGATTATTTACCTTTTTTCTGATGTAAGTGGGGAAGTGCTTTCTCAGCTGGATCTAGAAAGCTCCAATATGAATTACTGAGCTGTCTTTTTCTTTTCCAGATTTCTTCTGTTTTGTTGGAGTCATTGTGTAGCAAAAGTAGTAAAGGTCAAGAGAAAGGAATGATAATGCTATTTTTAAATGCAGAGAACAGAAAAACTAGAAAAGGAGAGAAGAGATTCAAAGGCTTGTAGAGATAAAGAACAGGAAAAAAAGAATATAATACGACACTGTCGTAAGAGATAGACAGTTTGTTGAAAAGAAACTAGAACAAGCTATTACTGAGGTGGAGGCAAGGATTGTTCTGGTTGGGAAGAATCACAGCGGTCAGGACCAAAGCAAAAAGCCTGGTCAAAGTTCTTTGCCTGTGCTAGGTAGCCAGAAGAGTAAGCCCATAATGTCTCCTCACAGCAGACAGAAAAGCTAGAAATATAATGATCATGTGTTCAGTTTCAATAAAAGTTAATAAATTCTTCGTATAAAACATTTCAAGGTAGAAAAGACAATATCGTCCAATTCTGCTTTTCACCAATTGATGCATATGTAATAAGGAATGATCTCTGTAATCCAGAAACGCTGGAATATGCAGTATTTTCTGCCTATTCTGTCGACTCCTTTTTTTAAATATGTAGAACATCGCTGTTCATTATTAAACATCTAAGGAAAGGTCTTGACTGATCATATATTTGAATATTTGTGCTTTTATTTATTGAATTTCTATACTGCCCAATAACCAAAGCATTTTGGCTAGTTCACAACTTGTATCCTGCACTATCAAAATATTAGCACTCACTAGACTATTTTTTCTAACTTTCTGGCATCAAAAGAGCCTTTCCTTTCAAGTCTAAAAGTAGATTTAAGAAATGTGTTTGAGAGAGACACAGAGACAGAGACATAATCAAGACCGGAGTAGAATGCAGGGGTATGAAAACTGCCTCCCTGTTCACCACAGAACAATCCTGTTTGCATCCTTGTGACAAGTCTCACAATTTTAAAAACATATCTGTTAATTTTCTCAGTCAATTAACATCATATCTAGTTTTGCTTAAACCTTCTAGCAAATGAAAGTCATAGCATTTTCTGGTTTTGTCATTGGTCTTATCCATAACAAGCCAATAAACACATATTGTTAATTTATAGAGTTTATAATATACTGCACTGTTAAGAAGAGCAATTCCCTTGTCAAACTGACACAAAGGCTATGTTTGCACAACATGCCAACCCACCCTGACAATAAGCTGAAGTAGGTTGGTTGTTTTGTGAAGAATCCATGATGTGCCTGACAAACAACTGGGCTCATCAGGAACACTTTGCTTCCTCCCTCCCTCCTTCCCAGGGGACACAATGAGGAGGAATGACTCTCCTGTCTGATATCCATGCTCTCAAGCTGATTTCAGCTTACTGTGGCCGTTAGAGACTGGGCTCATGCCCTGAAGTGCACCGGTGTTAACTTCCAGTCTCAGATGGGACAATATGCAGGGGGCTACCTGCTGCCCCATTGCAGTAGGTAGTCCCCAGTATATTGACCCAACTGAGGCTGGAAATTGACCCTATTAAGCTTCAAGGATAAAGAATATTTTTCCTTGCTCTGCCCTCCTAGTGCAGGCTGTGCTCACTCCCTGAAGCAAAAGAGGGTCAGTTGACATTCTGAGCTATGACAACATGCAGAGGGCTGTCCTGAAGCATGACAGGAAGGACAGGAGAGCTGACTGGGTATTTCCAGCTCTTGCTTCCACTTTGTGGAGACAGCTCAAGCCCAGAACATGGGGCAGATTCACGTTGGCAGATGGAAAGGTCTACTTTTGAACCACTGCTTGCCAAGAGTTGTTAGCTGTTGGGGCTCATTCATAGTGAGTCATGACATTTTGGTTTGACAATGCTGCAACAATGGTAGAACAGCCTATGGGTCCTCTGCTTAGGATGCTTAGAAAAAATAACCCCACAGGGATGACCCAGACTATCTATACATGACAAAACAATTCACTTATAATAGCAATCTGAAGGGCTATTTGCAAGACTTCTAATGATTTTACCTTGCCACAGCAATGCATGCTTCATAGCTTTTTACCATTAAAAAATGAAATAAACAAACAAAATATACAACCATAGTATATTTTAAGTCTTAAGTCAAAACACTTTTTAAATAACCCAACATACCTGGCGAGAGTCTGCTCCAGGAATTCCGTATCTTGGCTAACTTTGTCTACCAGCAGGTTAAAATCTTGCTGAACTGAATAGGCTTGTTCAAGCAGACTGCTTGGGACTGCAGATGGGAGTAGTGTAAAGGGAGCATAATTCACTACCTATCAATAAATGTGCAACAATGAATATCAGGCTAAGCTGTTTTAAAAATTTAGGGAAGGCAACAAAACAACATTAGAGTGGAACTATATATGCAGAAACTGCACCTTGAGAAGGAAAGGACTGGAGGAAAGCAGTATCTCCCATTGTGACATAAGCCACTATGAGAGGATGAATGAAATGAAAATAAAAGATTTCCAAACATGCTGCACTACTCATGTGGAGAAATAGCTAGTGCAAACCTTGTTGCCCATACACACAGATGTCAGCCATCCCCATGTGAATTTCCTCATGCAGTCATGTTCAGATAGAAAATAAAGGTTACCATGAACAAGAGATGAACATTAGTAAATGGTCATGTCTTGGAAGCAAATGTGGACAGTTCCATACATGTGTGCAAGAAGCATGAGAAAATCAGCACAGAAATTATAAAGGAGCGACAGTGAGGGACAAACAACCCTCAGTTTATCTACACGAATTGCATACACTGGAATGTAGAGCATGATTAATGTGAACTAAATGGTACATGCAGTGAGCCAGCCACCATCTCCTTGCATGCCCTGTCAGTTCACACTAACCTTTCACTACTCGCTTTTGCCAGGAAGTCATGCTCATGTGCTATGATGCTTCAGCGAAAAACAGAATGGGTCATTTTTACTGATAAAAATGGGTCCTCTAATTAATGGCTAACTTAAAAATCTTTTAACCTGTACTTTTATTAATAATGTTTTAACTGATTACTTTTTACCATTTTATGTCCTTTTATTTGATATTAGATGGTTTCATATTAATTTAATTAGAACATGTATTGCTGTTAGCACTCTTGGGCACATTTTGCCTTCATCCTGCATTGTGGGGTACCTGGATGACCCCAGTTTTACATTTTATTATGCAGCTTACATATAAATAGGTCTACCATCTATTCCTTCAATGCCCTACTCAAATTAGGAATAGTAAAAATTGTCACCAAATTTCAGCTTCCTATCTTTTATTGTTTTCTTTCTATAAACCCAAACATACCTGAAATTCTAAATTTGCATAAGAACAGGCCTGCAGAGTGTGTGACTCCAAAGAAAGGACACATTTTGAAGCACAAAAGGGTGAACTATAGGCCATTTTAGTCTTTATGAAAGTAAAAGGCTGGAAGTTAAACTTCTAGCAAAAAAGCACCAAAAGCACTCCTTTGAGAGAAAACACCTTTATGCTGACTTGAGGTTTGCAGGCAAAGTATAGCTATGCTGTTTGAAGGTCAATATGCCCAGCATTGTTATGCAGACTCGATAGTTAGGCACTTACGCAGGAAAGGTTAAATCTTAATTACCTGTACTAGCTGAAACCTGAAATCCATTCTTATGCTGATTCAAACCAAACCTCTCAGGGAAAACATTCAGTCAAACAAAGGCATTTCATATGTATCATTTGCCTTGCCTGAGGCACTTTTGTCTAGGATGACAAAATTACCCCAAAATACAAGCAATAATAGGTTTTTAATTGATAAAGATTGAAGGGTTATAGAAGGCAGCAAAAACAAAACAAAAAGACAAAAACAAAAACAAAAAACAGTGTTTCTGAAACAATGTAATTCTGGAATGCTACCAAGTCTGATTAAGGCCACCTAAACATAGCCTGGCCTGGATGAAACCCCAGCTTTCACACAATATTCCAGTTTGTTCTCACTTCTGACTTTTTACTGAGTGCAGACCTACTTTCTTTCCAGCTTTCGTAAGGCTATACGTGGCTAAATATGTGTTTCAGTTGAAAAGTTATTATCTCATAAAGTAGAGTTTTGATCTTACATCAGATGCATTGGGATCATCTTTGGTCCGCATAAGAACACCTTCAAGTAGTGCTGCATCCACTGCAACTGGGGCCACGTACTTAATGAGCTGGATATTATGCAAAATATCTTTCCAAAGGGCAGTCATTGCAAAGACTAAGGAAGTAGTCACAACAAGGCTGAAAACAATAATAAAAAGCATATTTAGTTACTGAAAGCATTTATAGGCTACTTTTTAGACATAACTCTTAAAAGGCAGTCTACAGAATAAAAGTAGGATGCAGAAATAAACATGTAAAACATCAAATCATAACACATTAACATATTAATCTCAAAAGGCCAAAACAAAAATAAAAACAGAAAACTGCTGTATTAGTTTAGAAGAAACGACTCACAGCAAGTCCAAGCAAATAGGGTGATTTAGAAAAAGCCTTCCTTCAGTAGCTTTTTCTGAACTGCTCATCTCTGCCCATTCCAAACACTTTCCAAGCATTGAGATCATGAAAGAACACCTCGTTTTTCCAACCCTTCTATGGGGCACAGCCCTAACCCTAACATAAGGTAAAGTATCCACAAAAAAGGGGGCAATTTTGAAAAACTTTTCCTTCAGTAGCTTTTTCTGCCCTGTTCATCATCTCTGCCCATTCTAAAAACATTCCAAGCATCGAAAAAATGCCAGGACACCAATGTCTTCCAACCCTAAGCCAACCCCGGAGCACACCCCTTACCCTAATATAGGGAGCAATTTTGAAAAAGCCTTCTTTCAGTAGCTTTTTCTGCACTGCTCAGCATTTCTGCAACCTGTAAACATACTCCAAGCACCAAGCACCAAACCAAGTGATCCTGCATTAGTTTTTATGCCCTGCTCAGGATCTCTACCCATTCTAAACACATTCCAAGCATCGAGATCATGCCAGGACACCTTGTTTTTCCAACCATAACCCTAACCTAGTGCACACCCCTAACCCTAATATAGGACTCCAGTTCCACTGATATTAGGGCAATTTTGAAAAAGTGTTCCTGCACTAGCTATTTCTGCCCTGCTCAGCATTTTTGCCCATTCTAAACACGTTCCAAGCATAGAGATCATGCCAGGACACATCGTTATTCCAACCCTAACCCTAACCTGGTGTACACCCCTAACCCTAATATAGAGCTCCAGTTGCACTGATAATAGGGCAACTTTGGAAAAGTGTTCCTTCAGTAGCTTTTTCTGCCCTGCTCAGCATCTCTGCCCATTCTAAACACGTTCCAAGCATCGAGATCCTGCCAGGACACCTCGTTTTTCGGACCCTAATCCTAACCTGGTGCACACCCCTAACCCTAATATATGACTCCAGTTCCACAGATAATAGGGCAACTTTGGAAAAGTGTTCCCGCAGTAGCTTTTTCTGCCCTGCTCAGCATTTTTGCCCATTCTAAACGCTTTCCAAGCATCGAGATAATGCCAGGACACCACGCTTTTCCAACCCTAACCCTAACCTGGTGTACACCCCTAACCCTAATATAGGACTTCAGTTCCAATAATAATAGGGCAATTTCGAAGAAGTGTTCCTGCACTAGCTATTTCTGCCCTGCTCAGCACCTCTGCCCATTCTGAACGCATTCCAAGCATCAAAATCATGCCAGGACACCTCCTTTTTCCAACCCTAACCCTACCCTGGTGCACA